CAATGAGCTCTTCTTGGACTTGAGGCGATGGAGCTCGTCTATCTTCAGCAATCCGAAGGTCTTGGAGAACCACTTGAGGGTGTTCCACACCTGCCGTAACTTGCACGGGGTGACCTCCTCATCGGCGAGCTGGTTGAGGAGAGAGCGGACATGTCGTTCCTGCAGTCCTCCCCCAGGATGTCCTGCATGTATGCGATGTGCTCCGCAAAAGGGGCGAAGTGGGCAAGGAGCCGTTCCGCCCATTTTCCGCGCATATGGAGTTCCAGCGCTCGCTGGGTCGTGGGCTCCATCTCCCGGATTTTCCCCGGCCGCCAGTGCCTCCACTTCAGAAGCTCCGGTTGTTGGAGTGGAGGTGGGTCATCTCGTGAGAACGACCTCAGTTGGTCCTGTCGGTCCCATTCATTCTCCAGCGGGGAAAAGTTCTCGCTCGGCTTGCCATCCGCAGTCGCCATGAGGAGGAACCATAGGCTATCCCATAGGTCGGCCAGGTCCGTCGCGGACAGAGGCTGGGGAAGCCTGCCCGCCGCCGACGCCGCCAGGCCGTTGAAGTAGTCCGTCGGAACCACTTGGTCGTCTTGCTCCACCGGAATGCCCGAGAGTTCCAGGAGCTGGGCAAAACGGGCTATCGGCTCCCCGCCCAGCTTCCTCGCAGGCACATCAGGACCAACAGCTCCCCGTCCGTCTGTCTCGGGGAGAAGGACTCATCCGCCAATGTGTCCCATAGGACCCTTGGAATGCGGTCCCAAAGACGTGTGTAAGGCGGGCGCAAAAGAAACTTGGTAGAAACCCTAGCCATGATGAAAAGGGGGGTTCGAGCCTCCTATCGAACGGCCGGGACTCAACCGCGGCACAATGCATGCATGCTCCAAACGTGCAGAATGCCAAGTGCAGATGGAGCAGGCAGGCCACAGGGCCAAAAGTCCACCCCCGGAAATCCCCAAAAGCACGAAGGGGGGGGAGACCAACCAGGCGGGGGATCCCCCAAAACCCCAAGGGGACCTCAGGGAAACCAAGAGTCAGCCGCAGCCACTTTTTCCGTCCGTGGGGCAGCCACTGCATGTGGCCTCCAGATCGAGGCAATCCGGCTGTCGTGGCGTGTTGAACAAGGGGGAAACAATGGTAAAAGATGACCCCAAAAGGAGACACCCTTACTCCTCCTCCCCCCCGAGACGGGGCCAAAGGCACCCAAGTCCCGGCGGGAAGAGATCACACGACTCCACATCCAAAAGGGCTGTGAGACACGACCTAGCGGCTCTCACCCTTCAAGATCGCCTCCTTTGCCACCGCGTGGATGGCCGCCAGCCCCGACTTCTCCGGGTTGCTCAAAATGACCGTCCACAAGGCCGTGGAGACATCCCCCAGGCCATTCGAGGAGGTGGTCTTGAACTTCTCCTTGCCCACCACTTCCCAGGCGCTGATGCTGGGCAAGACCAAGCCACACTCCACGGAGGCCCAGAACACGTGCTTCGTCTCCTTGGGGAAGTGCTTGTTGATGTACTTCCGGCCCGCGACCGCCGTGACCGTGGCCGTGGTGATGGGAGGGTACCGCCTGGTGCCCTGGTCTGGTGTGCGGAGCGTGGTGTCTGCCCCCCCCAGAACCTTGGCCTTGGGGTCCGCCTCCTTGGCCGCTCCTCCCCCGGGGCCAGAGGCACCCAAGGGGGGGGAGCAACCCAGCTGCCTGATGAGGTCCTGGGAGTAACCCAACCTGTCGTACAAGGCCCCCGCCGCCTCCTGTGGGACCGGCTCTACCCAGTCGTGGACCACGTTGCAGCGCCAGTTGACTTTCACCTCCACCATCGAAGACTTGCTCAGGCCCGCCACCAACTTGGTGTAAACCGAGTCAAAAGCCTTCAGCGATGACAGGGTGATCCGCTCGTCGCAGACCGCCCTGAAACGAAGCGCCTCCTTGCTGTCGTGGACGGGGGCCACTGGGATCTCCATCACAGGCAACGGGCAGTTGACGATGAAATTCTTGGCCGCCAGAAACGTCCCCATCTCCTTGAAGATGTAGCTCCATTCCGCCTTGCTGCGCGGCTTGGGGATGCCCAGGCTCTCCAGGAAGGGCACCGCCTCCTTCCTCATCTGGAGGATGTTGCCCATCCACTTGTCCGAGGTCGAGCCCTCCGCATTGCGGCCCCGGCGTTGCGTCTTCACGATCAACGGGAACGTGGTCCAGGCCGAGTAGATGTACTTGAAAGTGAACCTGTGGGCGTACACCCCCGTCAGGCTCGGCAGATCCCACGTTCTCGTCTGCCTGGTCCAGAACACCCCATCACCTTTCGCCCAGAAGATCCCCACCACCTGTTCCGGCGCCGGGCGCTCGCCCCGGTTCACCTGCGCTCGGATCTCCAAGGCCGTGTAGATGACTGGGTCGATGTGGTCCCGCTCGCACGTGAGTGGGTGAGTCCTGCGCTCCAGGGCCATGAGCTCCTCCGGCGTGAGCTTGAACTGCTGGTCCGCGCCCTTGGGGATTTCGCCGCTGGTGTGCTTCTTCCAGATCCCCCCAAACATCCGGAGCTCTCCCTGGTGCCTCTTCATCGCCCAGAGGAGCAGGGACAGCTTGCCCTCCTCCGAGTCCAGGTCCGGCTGTGACGTTGGCTGGTCCCCCCGGGGCCAGTGGCACCCTTAGGGGGGGCCGGTGCCACCAGATCGGGCATCTCCTCCAGCAGTGCCTCCTGGTGCCATGGATTCTGTGACTCTCTGAGCCTCCTGATGTAGGGGACATACTTCTCCTTGATGTCACCTGACAAGAGTCCTCGGGGTCGTCCAGCTCCAAGGGGCAGAATAGCCCCCTCTCCAGGGCCTGCCTGAGATCATCCGGCCACGCCGACACTTCAAAGGGCTTGAGAGTGTGGTTGAGCATCCATGCCTGGTTGGTGTCCTGAGTGCGCTTGTTCGCCGCCTGAGCCTCCTCAATGGAGCCCATCGCCTCTGCCAGTGCCTGGCTGGCGTCCACGCCCTTCCCCTCCAGGTACTGGTCGCGCAGCTTGGCCTTGAATCGCTCCAGGTTGACCTTCCTGAGGGCACGGGCTCCCTCATTGGCCACCTCCTCTGACGGCAGGGTCTGCATGCCCTCCTGGAGCGGCGCCAGGATAGCCATCTCGTTGTCCAGCATCTCCTCCGTGACCAACTCCTTGTGCCTCCGCCTGGCCGAGGACTCCTCCGGGGTCGGTTCCCGATGCTCCCTCAAGGCCTTATGCAGCTCCTCCTTCTTCCGGATCGCCTGATCCACCTGGGGGTGGTAGAGCTGGAAGCTCTGCGCCTCCGCCTCCTTCAGGGACCGCTGCACTTTGACCTTGATCTCCTGGCGTTTCCGGACCTTCAACGCCTCGTCGTCCGCCTCCATGGACATGATCTCCTGCCGGATGTCCACCCGCCTGTTGAGCGGGACCACGTCTGCCATGGTGATCTCCTCTGCCGTGTCCGTTTTAGGAGGAGCTCGCCCCAGGACCGTGCCGTCCACCAGGTTGCGGTCTGCCTGTGCCCGGGTACCACCGGGGCCAGCGGCACCCAGGCTTCCCCCTTCCCGCTGCTGGATCCAGGTCGGCTTGCCCTCCACGATGAGCAGGTTGTAGATGATGCCGTCCGCCTCATATAGGTGGCCGAGGGAGCCTGGAAGGGGACAAATTCCTTCGCTGGGCTGAAACTGCGAGGCCCAGACCTCCTCCTGCCGGATCTGGATCTTCATCGGGACATAGGCCTCCAAAATACGAATCACCAGGTCCTCCGTGAGATTCTTCCCGACAAACTTGTGGAACAGGGAGACCGCCTCCTCCACCGTGACGTCCCTCAACAACGTGGCCGCCGATGCCGGAAGGACCGGGAAGAGGTCTGGGAGGTCCACCAGCTTGAAGTAACCGGGTCGGCCCTCCCCCGGCACCAGGGAGACATGAGCCGTGGTCTTCTGGGAAGCCGCCACGAAACCCCTCAGCCTCTTCGTGGGTGGTGTCTGTGCCTCCTCCGGTGGAGTGGCACGCTCCGTGACGTCCGCATCTTCCATGTCCTTGTCCTCCTCCTCGGCGGGGCCAGGGGCACCCAAGCCGGAAGTCGGTGTGGCAAACGCCACACGGAGACGCTCCAGTGCACTGGAGAGGTCCTTCATCACGTCAGTAGCCGAGGCCGACGGGGGGGCCTCGGGCTCGTCCAAAACCAGGCCTGCCGCCACTGCCGCCTCGCGTGTGCGAATTTCCTGGGCCTCCTGGCTGGCCATTTCAACCTCCTCCACGGTGAGCGTCTGGTCCTCAATCAGCTCAAAGGATGTGGCCGAGGTTGCCGAGGAAGCCATTGCTGGTTCGGGGTTAGTTCGAAAGTGTTCAAACTCATTTTTTTCACACAAATTGGGTTCAAAGAACCCAGGGCAAAGCTTGAGCCAAAATGGCCAGAGCCATTATGGTCAAGCATTTCAAACACAGTTCATGTTTCCACATGCGTTTCAACATTAACAAAATGTGCATCGCCCTGACTGTGTTGATCTGCATGCTTTCCAGTTGGGTGATGCATAGGCGGCAAACTGCGCATCCCAGCAGATCAACATAAACCACGCCATGCGGAGACTTGGAACCCGCTCACAGTGAAAAAGCTTTGAATAGTTTGAGAGTGATTGAATAGCGCACGTCAAACCGAGCAAGTTTGAAGCAAAAACAAATATGCTGTTCCATTGAATGATATGTCGGATGGGCCCTCAAAGAGCCAAGGTTCGTGGTTCTAACATCCACAGCTGAAACTATTTTGCGCTGTCCAACCACAATTTCAAGGCCGCAGGATTGTACCTTTGGGACCGGAGCAATCGCACAAGTGACAGGCAGTTCAAAGGTCAAAAGGTCGGCTCGCTTTTGGGAAGAGAAGTGGGAACCCTTCCGCTGAAGCTGGCGTCACACTCACTTGTTTTAAGAGCTAAACTTTTGAGCGAAACCAAAAAACACAACCTCATTGTGAGGACTCAGAGATCCCTGTAAGCCCCCCAGCTTGCAACAGACCCCCCTTCCCGCTCAGGCGACGACAGCACTCCTGCAATGCGTCCAGGCGCCTCAGCTAAAAATAAGGTGAAATGATGTCTGCTACACCCCCCCCCGCAGCATGGAATACTTGTTGGGGTGGGTTGTGCGAACCCAAAAACATGCAAGATTTGTTGTGCAGGCAGTTTGTCGCAGGATTTGACATGGCAGATGACCAAAAGCATTAAGAATTCCCGGCTGCCCAAAATAAGGTTGGGGTTGAGACCATCTCAATAAATCTACACTTTGGGGACTTGGGGGCTCTAATGGACCTGAAATGACAGGAGTGTTGGTGCATTTGAAACTAGTAAACGCTCAAACATGTTGGGGACGCGTCCCTTGAACCAAATCCAAGCATCTAGGCAAACGACTATGATGCACACCTGAAATGAGGAATCCCTCAAGGAAGAGTCATCAGAGGGTCGCAACAACTTTACCAGACCAAGAAGTGCATTCCGTGGATTTTAGACTAAGGGTTCAAGTATCTTGTGGGGCTGTGCATTCCTTGAAATCCTTGGACCAAAAATCGCCCCTTGGATCCCTTTGGCTTCTTGAAATGGTTCGCATCTTTTTTGGCGATGTCCATGGCCTCGGACTCGCTTAACAAAGGTGCTAATCTCATGGGGGCTGGGGGGGAGGGGAGGGGGAGGGAACCCCAAATAAGCCCTTATTAAGCCCTTAATAAGGCCTTATTTAGGGCTTAATTGGGCTCCCTCCCCCCCCCTCCCCCCCCAGCCCCCATGATAATCTCGATTGAAACCTCCAGGCTTCCAGGGTTCAACCACTGGGAACTGTTTGGAATGATTCGAAAGAAGGATCCATCCATGTGTGTGTGTGTGTGTGCGTGTGTGCGCGCGCCGAAAACCGTCGAGTGGTGAATGAGTTTCAAAAACAGGAAATACAGGTCGGTGGGTTGAGGTCAAGTCCCAAAAGAGGTACACAGGCGTGACTGAACAAGTGTCAAGAGTTTGAATCAGAAGAGTATTGCCTCCATTTGAGTGCCTTGATTCCTTGCGACATTGACTTTCTGGAAAAGTGAGGTCGACCTGGCCCCCACGGTTGATATGCACAAACAACGGAAAAATACGAACTGGACATACCTGGAATTGTCTAAAGGACCTTTTTTGGGGCTCGTGTTGTTCCCCGGTGATTCTTGCCAATTTGACTTTTGAGGAACACCCCTGAGGTACCCACCCGGAGAGGCTGGTGTTTGCGAAGCAAGACCTCAGATCGATCTAGTGCGGTGCGTTGCAAACCCGAGCAAAAAACAGGTGAGTGCTCCGAAGGCTCGAACAGGCCACGAGGGAATAGAAGGAGAGGATGCCCATGCACAAAGACAAGGTGCCCTGTGCATCCAAGGAGCTCCAACAGGTTTGGTTTCGTTGGTTCAAACCGCAGGTTTGGATCTTCAAACCGAAGGTTTGGATCGAATGGCTGCGTTTAGTTGAGAAATGAAAGAAGCATCCAGAGATGCGAGGTATGAGAGTGGAGATAATTGGGTCACCCTACATGCGGTCCAAATGATTTCTAGGGCTTCCATAGTAGGGCGCATGCATACGAGCACGCGTCAACAAAAAAGGAGACCCCCCCCCCCTGTATTGCGTGTTATTTTTGCCTTCCCTTTTAAACCAACCTGAAAAGGATCCCTCAAACCAACACAAACTCATTCAATGCTTGCGCCTGTTTCTTACCGGGTGATGCCCGCCGCCCGAAGGCTCAAACTGGACCGCTGACACCGAGCCTGGCCGAAGAAACGAAGAAGACTAGGAGTCTCAAGCGCGTGTTGCGCTAAGGAGAATTGCTTCAAGTTGCGTGCTGAGAAATTTCTGAGTCCACGGGCAAGTCTGGCGATTTATCACTTGTTGTGGAACAGAAAAGCAACACATGAACCCTAGAGGAAACACACGAATGTTGCTTTCCTTGCCATATTGAAGCTCACAACCAGTATCAACCAGTCATCAACCAGGGATCCTGGGTGTTGTGATGTGAAACAAAACAACAAATGTCATTGAAAACTAAACGCACAAGCAAATGAAAGCAACACACACACACACACGGATCCACGACGTGCGGAATGATTCCCTTGCTACCAATACCATCCTTCAAAAAAGGGATCGAAACCATGAATCACATCCCAAACCCCAATTGCATAACCTCACCCGACCCTTGACTTTGGCGCACCTTCTGGATCTTATACAATTTTGGAAGATATGCTGAAACAATCAAGACAAATGACAAAGTATACCATCAGCGCCCCTTAGCAACTGCGGACAGGACACCCCGAAGATCGCGCTTCCCTCAAATTTGTGCATGCCCTCATTATGAAACCCATGGCCACTTTAGACCACGATAAAAAGCCATGAACGGTCGATTGAGCAGCCAACTCGAGGTTCCTACCGGGGCCCGGTTCATATGGCGTAGTTTGTGGGACACATGAAAGGGGATTGTCGTTGGATTTACATGGCTGTGGCAACCAAAAAACCGGAAAATTCCACAATGGGTTGCCCGATCGGTAAGTGGAAACATGGGTACCAAAACCTGCGGTTTGCCCCCTCCTGTGTAATTTTGAGCCACACTTTCATAGAAGTTGGTACCCCAGCAATGGGATGAGTTGCGGTCACTGAGCCGCGAACTTCTTCAGGATCACCGCTGTCTCTGACAAGCCGTGAGGCCCTCGACCGCCAAAAGCGCGCGACCAAAGCGGTGGCCCGTTCGTCTTGTTTTAGGCATCGAATTGTTTGGTGGGATGCTTGGCAGCCCTATGTTGATTGCCAAACAAACAAGCGTGGCATTTTGGGGAATCCTCAACGTTTGGGTTGGGGGTCCTCCAAGTTTGGGAGCAAGGCTTCAAACCGGGTTGCTACTTGTTGCAGGGCGTTGTTGCGGCCTAGAGTGCAACCGGAGCGATACAAGGACCATTCAGGAATAGGCGAAAAACTGAAGTCGACCTTCTATGTAGGGAATTCGCAAACAGCAGTCCTTGGATAAATGTACACTGGGACCACATAGGGTACCAAGTGGTTGGATTGAGCATGGTTTGCATGTTGGAAATCCGCCGGGGCGCACGTGTTCTTTCCTGCTGACCAGGGTGATCTCAAAAATTGGTGCAACCCTTTTGGTTTCCCCCTTCCCCAAAAGCGTTGCCCGTTGAGGAAACCCGGCACCTGGGCAAGAAAAGGCATCCAACACAGCCATGGGAATTGCATGAAAAATGTAAAATATGGGTGTGGGTCAAAAATAGGTACTCAAAATGGAACCCTGATAAATGGAAACAAAAACTAAAACCTCTGGTCCCCCGGTGGCTTGATTTTGACCCATATGTGGGGCGTAGCTCAGACGGGAGTTTACAGAGTCGAAGGCTTCCAATGACCCCCCCGCGAGCGCCTTTTTGCCATAGTAAAGATCAACTTGAATGGTATGGTTTAGCATGTGTGGAATCTGGAGTCATATCCTTTGAGCCAACAAAAAAACGTTGTATGTCCAAGCGTTACTAACCTATTGCGGACCACATACCACCCCCAAATGAGGTTTAAACCTGCACAAACACCAGCCCGACAATTGGCGAAATAATCAAACAAACTAAATTTGGGAAGGACTGCGCAACCTTGCACTCCCACAACGCTTGTTGGGTTTGCACACATTTTTTGCTGGCCATTCGCAACTCGCTGGATTCGCGCAAAGGTTTGCAGAGACTGGGCTCGCAATTGGACACTCCCATAGTCTTCCAGCATCCGTTCATCCCAGATCCAAAGGGGCGGCTGTCCTTTGCCTCCCCCTCAAATCGGCATGGCGCTTCATTCGACTGCCCCCCTGGGCCGCCGGCCGAAATTGCTCCCTGGAGGAAACCTCAGCTTGCACCAGCGAACATGGATGCTGTGTGTCAAACCCGTCGGTTCATTTAGTAAGAGGCACATAGAGATCATAGAGTATATATATATATATGATACGCCTGTCTCCAAGTTGGCCACTCCTATTGGAAAGGCTTTGAAACAAAACCAAAGTAAGCCAACCATCTGGAAGGGTACCATGTTTGGTCACATGAACAATGAAAGGTAAAAAGTGGCTTAATTAGTTCCATAAAACGATTTCCGGTATTGCCAGCTTCATCCTGAGCCCGTTTGACGGTGTGCATCCGTACCCAGGTGTTACGAAGTGTTTTGGGCCATGGAAGGCAACATGTTGAGGCGAAACCCCAATTTTGAATGCACGACGAGATATTGCTGGTTCTGCATCATGTCTTGCTTGCCTTGGGCTTCAACAACAAAACCCACCCCCATGGGACTGTGCTTCTGACGTGACCAAACATGGGTACCCCAAAACACGTCCATCTAGGCATCAGGATCTTATGACTCTCGAAGTCAGCCAAGATAAAGGGCCCAAATTCTTTCACCGGTGTTATCATTGTTCTGGGACCAGTCTGGAGATAGGAACCTCGAGAACCTCGGGCTGTCAGAGACTGGGTCCATCCAACTGACACTCCTCAGAATTCACCCAAACTATTCAGCAGTCTCATGGCTCCCTCGCCGATTGCCACCCCACCCTCCCCCCCCCCCGGCCCCACCCCATGCCCAATTCTTGGTTGCATAAAAGGTGATGACCTTGGGGGACCTTGGCTGCAAGTGCACCACAAAGCTCAAAAAACGAAAAGTAAAATGGATCCCTGCGGCAAGTGAAGTATTTCTCCAGGCGCTAAACTAAAAGCACAGGGAAGCCTCTTTTTGTTTGTGACAAACAGGTGGATCCACTTTGACACGGCCAGACCCAAAAGTGGGATCACCAGAACATCTTCGGCCCCAAACTCACGGACCCAGCGAACCAACCGGAAAATTCACCCAAAAACAAAAAAGAACTGCGAACGCTTCCGTCGAGCGCTCCACTTCTGGGCCCAGGCTTCACCTGCTTCATGGCATGCATCTCCGCAGCCACCGCCCCCGTGAAGGCCCAGTCGTTCAGGCTGCGGCTCCAGGACCTGCCAGAAGAAAAAAGAAGAAGAAAAATCCGGTGGGAACAAACCCCAGCCCCTGGGCTAAAGGAAAACCATATTGTGTTTTTTGCTTTTAGAAAAAACACAGAGCACCTCAAGCAACACCCCAACACAGCATCCCAAAACGGGCTGCGGGTTTCTAAACAGCACCTGTGCAAGAATCCCCGGACTGGATGCCCCCCAGCATTTTGCCGTCAATCCCGCAAAAACACACTTGGCTGGCACCAAGCACAACAAAACAGCACCTGTACCAGCGCCCCAAGCTGCATGCCACTTAGCGTCCCGCCGTCAATCTCGCAAAAATGCGCCCGCGCCATCACCCTGAACAGCGCCCCCCAACAGCACTCCCAGAGCACCTGGCCGCACCGTCGCCAGCATTTCAACACAGCACCCCAAACCAAATCCCAAAACAGGGAAAAATCACGGGATAACGCATACCGAGTCAACAAAGTGGTCAGTACTTACTTTGTTGAGACATGTTCCAATGTCTTAGGACTCGAAATAAAGCAACTGCTTTGCGGTTGGTGAAGCGGAGGGCAAAGGATTTCCGGGAAACGGTCCTTGACAATGCGGGTTGTGAACCTAGTTCGGGGGGAACGAACATGGAAAGGTCACAACCTTTGGCCAGTTCCCCGGTCCCATTCTGATATCTGGGGCACATTCGACCTCGGCTTGAAAAGTAAAACGTCATCCGGTTTCCCTTCGTGACATCGAACAGGAAGAAGCCCTAAAATTGATGGAAAAGGTACTGCCAGAACACTGATTGCCAGGGTGTTGTTCTCTGCCAGTGTTCTCAGAACCAGAAGGGGGTTGAAGCATCTCGAAATCTGCAGTTCTTCCAAGTCTCCTCACCCTAAAATCGCGCACTGCGGATGGCAATGCAACAAAACTCCAGGACAAAGCCGAGGCTCCCTTTGCATGGTGGGTGAATCATGTTTGTTCCCTTCAATGCCGTTTGCAAGCGTGTCCCAGTTTTGAAAAACGTTGTCATTCCTATGTCATGTCCCGGCAAGGATGTCTTGACGTCTTTGGACAGGAACGTGCAGGCAGCCATTCTCCACAGAACCAATATCAGCCTCTGCGTTCATCCCAGTAACTTCAGATCTGCGCAAGAGGACATGTGAACCTGGGCCATCCAGCAAATCTGGCAGTTGCTGTACCGCATCCAATCACACGTTGAAAAACCTAATCTCCCGCCTCTCGAAGCGCTCTCCACTGATGGGACACACCTGGGCGTGAGGAGAACATACCCAGGATTCTTGCTTGCAAATTAACAAGGGCTGCGTCCCAAAACGGTGTTCCACTAAACGCGAAAAAGGGTACCCTGGGATTAGAAGTCGAGTTTCAGACAAAGGGATCGGCAGATCAACTGCACCTAGAAAAAGCAGCTTCTGATTCATGCGGCCGGCATGTTTAGCTCAAATTGGATATGATCACATCCTCCCATAAAACACAAAAAGCAACACACACGCACACAAACACACGCACAGTGATGATAATATGATTAGCCAGGAACCAGGTGAAGTCGGAGTAATTACCCGAACCCGCATCACACTCGTCCGGGTGATCAGTCCGGATATCCTCCGTACTCAAGAGCAGCTTCGTTGGCAGTGGGCTCATGAGTGGGCCACTGCACAAAATTGTCCGCTGCAGCCCTTTCATTTGTGGCGGCGAGCCACGCTGGACACACACACACACACACTTCTGACGGAAGAGTGATCAAATAGCAAGCAACCCTCTCAAGTGCTGCTTAAAGTGCAGTGTCTCGTCTCGAACTGTCTGCTTGGATTCCAAGTCGTTTGCTAGCTGACATCATGCTCTCATGTGACTTCCTCAACATGTCCCTTACAGCTACATCCTCTCACTGAGGTCAATCCTGATTCACACGCGGCGACTTCACATAGCAATACATGGAAAACACACACACACACACACGCACCCTTGCACACCCATGCATACACATGCACCCGCGCACCCAACTCTCGCATGCGCACATGCAAACGGACGGACGGACAGACGGACAGACAGGCAGGCAGACACACAGACACCCAAACACACATACACAGACACACAGACATACACACAACAAGCTCAAACCGTAAACACTCACAAACACGGTAGGCAAACACACAAATACATCAACACATGCTCGCGCACACCACACCACACACAAGCACAGAACAACAAAAGACACAATACAAATCATTCTTTCCCATACATTATCACCCCCGACTCCGCTTCCGCTTCCCCCAACCAACCTCTCTCCGACCAACCGCGCGAAACTTCCGAGGCTCCCTGCGGAGCGGCGTGGGTCAAAGGGCACCTGAAGGATGCAATCCGTCAAGCTCAGGGTGGGGCCTACCGATAACATGGGTCTTGTCTTGGCTTCCAACAAACATATAGTTTTATATATAGTTGATACCTCTTTATTGGCGGCAAAGGGAAACGAACTGGAAAAACAATACCGTTTGGGGGTCCCCTAAAAAGGCACGGCCTTATGGCTTAGCCTTTGCTGGGCCATTGTTGGGTTTGGCTGCTTTGCGGGCATGCTCGGCTTGTTCATTACTTTGAAGGGAAACTAAATCCAAATGGACACCATCCGTTTTGGCTCAGCAACCCGAAATGTTGAAACCGGAAAGAACCCGTAGATGTTGGCTGCTTGTGCTTGCTTAGGATTGGGCAATACGACGACCAGCCAAACGCGAAGTCATGCCAGCAGTGGCCACAGGACACAACGCAAATAAAAACAGACACACGATTACACATAACTCCATGGGTGTCCTTTTAGGGGAAATAGATGGTTCTGGTAGATGATTTAACCACCAAGTAAACCAGGGCCATCTATTTTTCTACCAAACAACCAAAAAGGACACCTATGCATAACACAAGCAAACACTGGCACTGACTTCTCACCATCCAGGTCAGCAAACCATTGATCCGTTGCGCTCGAGCAAAGAAAGAACAGCAGGTGGGGCCAGCGGCGCTCTTGTTACACATTTCAATCACAGTCTGATCATTGCTCCTTGCTTAAAGCTTCCCCCTACTTTAACGGAGGGGGGGCGGAGGGTACTCCAATTCCCATGTTCAGGGCGGTGGGGATGTTTGAACTACCTTTTTTTGGTCGGGGTCTGCTGACAAAACCAACAATCGCATGGAGACTCGTCCCACACAGGGGCCTCCCAGTGGCTCTCAACCTCCGCATCCGGCTTTGCCACCGGCTCCGGGACCTCAAAGCGCAAGCGCAAAGCGGCATGGGTGGGCAGGGGTGGATGACCGAGGAATATACGTATAGGCATTTTTTTTGTGGGGGGGGCTCACTTGACTTGCAACCAGACAGGTGTAGAATCACGATTTGTTATCTTGGGTTTCTCTTATTTGGGGAAGTGCTCAATGTTCAAACATGTTCTGAAGCTTAGCTCTGCTGTTGAGTAAAAGGTATAAATTGGGAAACATCTTGCCCTAAGTTGTTGAGCGTCCAAAAAATGTAGAGACTGCCATCCTCATGTCTTTGGTGGTTCCCCTTGACCAAACTATCCAGAAGGGGTGCTCAATCTCCCCTGATTTTTAGGAACCGCCACGGATCTGCGCGTGAGTTGGCCGCATGCCAAACGGTACAGAGACCCTTTTGAGTTGGTTTAGGACAACCAACACCTCCGTGTGCCTTACATACTCATGACTCAGTACAATTTTCCTCCAGAACCAACAAGCGGAATAAGAATCACCAAAAGCAAATGGAAGAATATACAACTATTCGGCATCGATTTCTAGTTTCGTGCTCCCCCAAAGGAGGGTCGCTTGCCCAAATACGAACAAATACATGATCGCGAATAGGCTTGGATGGCCAGTGGAGTTGGCTAAGTGGCATGACGTTGCCGAGGGTTTTACTATGGGTTACCCGGTTGCAACAATCTAGACTCCCAGATCATCTCAGCAGGGATCTTTGACTTCTCAAATAAGGTTTGGGAAGCAACCCTATTGGTAGAGATGTTGCACGGCTCCATTGAACTGTTCCCACCAGGAAGATATCACACAATTGGGATCACGAACATCCCCAAAACAGATCAATCCCCAGCAGAAGAGGATACTTGTAATCCATAGCGGACAATTCACTCTGGACGAATCATATTCGTTCACCAACTTGGAATACGGATTCTCTCTGAGTAAGGCATCTTCGTTGCAGATAAGGGTGAGGCGCCAACAAAAGAGGGCGCTGCACATTGCTTGAAAAAGATGCTCGTCAATATATGGCATTTTTTAGGGGTCTGTAACGCGCGACGCGCCACGAATCCTGTTACGGAGGTCTGTAACGGAGGTCCTTGTTACGCAGGTCTGTAACAGCAACAACATTTCCCGACAAGCAGCATCAGCAGCACAATGTGGCGCAGCAGAACAAGGTATGTAATGGCTATGTAACGAGGTCTGTAACGAGGCAAAGCAAGGCGCAGGACGCAAAGCGCGCCTCCGCAGCTCCAGCTTGATTGCGGCTACTCAACGCAAGCCAAGATGCGGCAAAAAGCCGGGTCGCTGGCCCGGGCTGGGGGTTGGATCTGTAACGAGGTATGTAACGGCTATGTAACGAGGTCTGTAACGAGGCAAAGCAAGGCGCAGGACGCAAAGCGCGCCTCCGCAGCACCAGCTTGATTGCAGCCACTCAGCGCAAGCCAAGCTGCGGCAAAAAGCAGGGTCGCTGGCCCGGGCTGGGGGTTGGGTCTGTAACGAGGTATGTAACGGCTATGTAACGAGGTCTGTAACGAGGCAAAGCGAAGCGCAGTACGCAAAGCGCGCCTCCGCAGCACCAGCTTGCTTGCAGCTACTCAGCGCAAGCCAAGCTGCGGCAAAAAGGGGGGTCGCTGGCCCGGGCTGGGGTTGGGACTGTAACGAGGTATGTAGCGGCTATGGAACGAGGTCTGTAACGAGGCAAGGCAAGGCGCAGCACGCAAAGCACGCCTCCGCAGCCCTATTCAACGCAAGCCAAGCGGCGGCAAAAAGCGGGGTCGCTGGCCCGGGCTGGGGTTGGGTCTGTAACGAGGTATGTAACTGCTATGTAACGAGGTCTGCAGCGAGGCAAAGCAAAGCACGGTACGCAAAGCGCCTCCGCAGCTCCAGCTTGATTGCAGCTATTCAGCGCAAGCCAAGCTGCGGCAAAAAGAGGGCAGTCACGTCACTGGCCCGGTTTGTTTATCTGAGGTGTGTAACGAGGGCGTGTGACGCGGGTGTGTAACGAGGGTGTGTAAGGAGGGGTGTGTAACGAGCCAGCTGGTTTTGTTACAGAGGTCTGGAACGAGGTCTGTAACGAATGTCCGCCGCGGCCCTGTTACAGACCCCTCCAAAAAAATCACTGCCATATTGGCAGGGATTCTTTCTGGACCCGATGTTTGTAAACATATTGGGAACACCTCCCTCAAAAGAAGGCGGTCATACATGTAAGCAATGGTGCACACAGCATGGTCAGTCTGCATGTTGTAACCCTCAGCGAACTCCGGTCTGCACACAGTTGTTTTCTTGGTGAACGCCATAGCCCGGCCAGTCAGAAAAAGCAGTTCCTGCGGTACTTTGAAGGAAAAAGGCACCACTGGGGCATGTCTGGGACAAAGATAAATGCTCTCCGCCGAGAGGCCGCCCGAACTTCTCGGTTGGGGCCGAAGAGAGCGGGGCCCACCACCAAGTCTCCTTGGGCAAAACGGCTGGCTAGGGAGAACCACTGGCTTGCACGGGTTAGCTGCCATTTCTTTGTTGAGGGACCCCTTAAACGAGGGTTTCTACAGTCAAAAAGAGAATTCATTGAAAAGAAACCCTGCGGGAACCCTAAGAGTTCCCTACAGTTTGACAACGACGCGATTCTGCTTGGCCCAACCGTGGTATTTCAGCTTATGAAAACCCATCCAACTATCCAACGGTCCATGGGGCAATGCTCTGTCCCCGGATACGCAGCCTCGGACAAGCCTGAAAAGCTGCGATCTTCTGAGCAGCGCCCCAAAACCTGCTGGCTTTGGTTCTACTAACATGGTTGTGAAGAACGGGCTATTCAGTGAAGGGTCTGAAAGCTCTTACCAGCACCGCCCTTTCCAATGTCCAAAATCTCAAGTGCTGACCAAAAGCAGTACAGGGTATTGTCTAAAGCCCATGTTAGAGGGTGAATTCGTAAGCCCCAGATGCTGTGAGGAATACCCGGTTCGAAAACTTGCTCCAAGGAAATACAAGAAGCCGAGCCTGGGGCCATGATTCAAACTAAACCAAGATCATTAGGTTTTGGGCAACATGCCATTTACCACGATCTGGACGGTGCAAAGTCCGCAATTCCCAGTGATCCAAAGTATCAAGCGACATGTTCGAAAGAAGGTCCCTAATGACCGGCGAGACAATGTCTAACCTTCGCGGCTCTACACTTGGGACTGACACTGGGAAACCGAAAGGTCAGATTTCTCCTTCGAACAGGCCACGACGGTTCATTTGGTCAATTCCATCAATCTGACAGCTTGGATCACGGAAATTCTCAGAGCTCTTCGCAAAGAATTGCTGATGTCCACTTTGGACCGAGAAAACCGTTGCTCCCCACAATGATCTGCATTAATCTGACGTATAGACATTGCCACTGCCTTGGTACAGTTCAGGTGACACCTCTGGTTTAAAGGAAATCTGCCAAACCAAGACTCTACCAATGTGCAATCGCTGCAAATTTCATCGTAGAATTATCGCAACTCTTGTAGACATGTTGATAGACAGCGGCAGACATACAGCCATGTTGTGGGATGTCAAAGGGCAGCCAACGGTATACCATGCGTTTGCCCTTGTGATTGCCTCGCAATTTGCCACAATCACACCCTCCCCAACTGTTGCGAATCTAGGCTCCCAAAGTCCCATCAACAACCATGGAAGGCTCAGCCCTTCAGTGAGATTGCTTCGGATGGTCAAGTTTGAGCGGCAGATTGCTTTGGATGGTCAAGTTTGAGCTGCAGATTGCTTTGGATGGTCAAGTTTGAGCTGCAGATTGCTTTGGATGGTCAAGTTTGAGCTGCAGGCTCCATGTCAGCCTCAGAACAAACCCTCAACTCTACAAACGCCGGCCATGTGATATGCTGCTGACCAAGGGGCGGTTCCCGACCCAATCTGGGATCGGATCCATCCAACCTCTGGCCTCCGCATTCATTTGCCTGACCAATGAGGAGAAGTGAGAAGAGGTAAAGAAATGGATGTGGCTCAAAATTAAACAGGAGGGGTTACGCAGGTTTTGGTCCATGTTTCCACTTACCAGGGTTCCATTTTGGTACCGGTTTTTTGAGCCACAGCCAAATGAAATGGGGTAAGACACAGTTTAAACCTGCGAGTGCGTGTGTCTCTGTCTCTGCGTATCTTTGTTTGTCTCCGTTTGTGTGTGTGTGTGCGTGTGTTTGTGCGCATTTGAATTGCGGCTGTGGTGTGTGACTGGAGTGCTCGTACTGCACCGGGGCGTAGTCCCCAAACAAGCTCCCTATGCGTTTTGCCCGGCATAGCCACCAGCACCAACATCGATTGAATCCGCAACCTTTGCCGGCCAGCAAAGTCAACGAAGGGCGTCCCTCATTCATTTGGCGCCGGCCTTTATCTCACTATAGTGTCTCTTAAGCTTTCAAACGGACAAAATCCTGCACCGCTTGGGATAGATGAAACCCCTATGAATACGGAGAGAAGCCATCTACCAACTGGCGCAAGATTTTGTCCATCCCCGGCATTACTGGCAAATTGTGCGTTTGGATGCTTCTCAAGATTAGGTTCAGGCTTGCCACGCGATTCGCCCATCCGCCCTGCCCAATCGGAGGTTTGCATTTAATTATTCTGCCAGCCTGAAAGAACAAGGAACCAAGATCTGGGACAAGTTTAACTTTTACCCCACTCTGCCTGGCTGCCCATGGCCCCTTAGGAGCATCAGCTCAACTTGTCAGACGTCTTCTCCAAGCGTAAGCAGGGCGCTAGTTGTTTTTGCCTTGGCAGGGGACGCTATACTTGATAATCTTCATGTTGATCCGACCTAGCTGGCTCCGAAAAATATAATATGTTGCTCCCTCCAAAGCCCGGACATCTGACAGCAAAAGTTCATTTTGCATGAAGCGGAATCACAGAAATGGGTCAGCTACGATCACCACACCCGAATGCACAATACAAACCAGAGCAACAAAAAGCAGCTTCTAGTTTTGTTTGGCAGCCTCACCACAGCAACTGATAGTCGAGCATTGATAAAGCTGCACAACCTCATTCTGCAGCCTTGGTTCTTCATCATTTTCTACCTGCACAACTATCACAATTCCCAGACTACAAGAATACCTCAAGGAACCTTCATTCTGGGATATTGTGGGCAAGCGTGTTCGTGTTCAGCCCCCGTGGGTGTGTCGATCCGTCCATCCTTCCAATCAACATCTATAAATTCAGGATGATCGGAAGAAACCTGAAATTCAATAGCTGCTAGATGGGCATGCGCCAGCATAGCGGTACCCTAACAATGGCGCCTTTGGTGTTTCTTTAAACCAACCTCTAAAAGAAACACATACCAAAACAAGAAAGGACACCAACAACTGCAACCGGTACTTGCCCACATGGAAGTCACAAAGCACTACACTCTGAGAGGATACAAGCGGCAAGACCAAGCTGGCCAGAACTCATCTCAACACATCTAGGGCAGCACCTTGGAAGCTCAAACGTCACAAACCTTGCCAGTACAAGTCGAGTAGAGGTATACCTTGGCAGCTCCAGCTCGATCGCAACTTTTTAGTACACGTGCACCACTCAAACTCCACTTTGGCAGCTCCAGCTCCAGCTCCGTAAAGGGCCTACAAAGGAAGGACGAGCCCAGAAGGCCCCTCAACCACCCCCCCTTGGTTGCGGCTGTGGCCCTGTTAGCCAAATGCCTACGGTACATGTAACAAATGTCGCCACGAAGATGCGGCCCTTCATCTCTGGAACAACACGCTGCCCAAGCAACACAGTTCGTTGTTGGCTCCTCTGACGCACTCAATGAAACACCCTCACTGGCATGCCAAGTGCTTTACGGGCCCAACATGTACTGTCATCTGAAGAGAAAACAAAACAACACTAGCCATCACTGGCCATTTCGAAATGGTTTGTTGGCCAAACCTGCATTTCACAAGCAACAGCTCATGACAAACTCGTGCTTGGCACATGTTCTTAGTGCCTTGTTAGCGGAAGGACCGTTAGTTTCCTTTGCACAGTCATTTGAATCGTGTACGCGCCACAAGCTTCGAACGTACTCTGTTTCGTCCTGCCCCTTGACGCGGGCAATTCAACATACGCCCCCAGTTGTTGGAGCCAAACTTTACTGGTTTCTTCGAGGAATCCATGGCCCAAGTCACGAGCAAACTTCTATGCTGGGGCCATTCGAAATTCCGTCTACAGTGAAAAAGAAAGCTTGCCCTCGGAAGAAGGGCTCCCTCCCAAGGCGAGGGATTCTCTTCCAGCCCAAAAAAAAAGAGACGAGAGGGCAGGGTTTGTCTCCAAGGAACCTGACAGAAGGGGGTCATGGTGAACGTTTTCCTTTTAAGGAGCCCCCAATGTTCATTGGTGGGAGGGTACACCATCCCCAAATCAAAGGCGCTCTTTCCATTTGCTTAAGATACATATAATATATATATATATATATATATTTCCAGTAGTGATAAATTCCTTTTAAAACCAACAAAGGACGATCAAACATATTCATTCCAGTAGTGATTCCATTCCTTTTAAAACCAACGAAGGACGATAACAAAATTCTGAAGCAAATGGAAGGCTCCCAAAAGTCCGCGGCTTGCGCCTCTGCTCCTTCCGGCGCTTCAGGCCCTCGTTGTGGCGCCGCAGCTTCTCGCGCGTGGAGAAGCGGAGGCCTACCAGCCAAGGCATTGGACTCTGGTCCTCCAGAGAGGTTAGAACAAGTTGGTACCGACTTGTTGTCCGGTTTTGTCTATTTTAGTAGGGGAAACCCCGCCCAACCAAAAAAGAAATGGTAAAAAGGGCACTACTGGGGGACCTAGTCTAGATACTTCGGTGTCCTCCAAAAGCCGATTTTTCAGGTGGATTTGTTTTCGGGGACTTACATCAAGAAACAGAAGGACTCCTTCCAAACCAAGCGGACCCAAGGTGATGTTCGAAATCACCAACTGCAGGAGATATGGGGACCCCGGTGGATGGACAATATTCGATTCGCACCAGTTGGCATGATTGACACCCTATGAATACTAGTTTGATAAACCACCAGCCGGTGCAACCTGGATTTTGTTCATCCACTGTACTGTTTGAACCTTTGCTTGCGTCCTACTTTGCGATTTGGCATGGAAAAACCAGTTGGCATGGATAAAAGTCGCCGGGGCCCCCGGGTATGAAACCCGCGCACAAGCGAGCTCGTCTGTGAAATGCGCTGGCAATTTAGCTTGGGAAGGCACCAAGGGAGGATCAATTTTCGCTGCACACTGAATTTGCTCTTGGGAGTGCGACACTAGCAACAGGAAGCTCAGATTCAAGTGTCCGTGTCGAAAATTGAGCCCAAGCAGGAGCTTGACTACAGAGGTGCCTACGGTGAAAGCACCCTGTCGATCCGAATTTCCTTGAAAGTCATTGTTTTGTAAGGTATTTTTACGGGTCATGTTTTGCCCCAAGCAGCACTTGCAGAAGGTGCAGGTGCACAAAGCAAGAAAGAGCCCCTCTGGGCCAATAGTGATTCACTTCCTGAGAAGGTCAGCCCAAACTCTTAACTTTCTGCTTCCCACCAAAGCGACTTTCCCAAAAAACTAAGCAAAGTCTAGCAAGTGGACCTGCTGTGCCTATCAGATTCAGCCGCGCTGAGTTCACCAGCACTGGCAAGCGCGGTCTTGGGCACATTTAAGCGAAAGATCCCTTAAACAAAGAAGAACCAGTGATTCCTTTGGAAAAAGTGCTTCCTCCAAGACCCTTGCGGGGGAATCTTCATTCCTGAGCCAGGAAAGGGAGAGTACCTGAGTACTCAGATGGTTGTGTTCACCTTCTACACTTTTCTCTGAGACAAGAACCCTCTGAGACAAGAACACGGGCCAGGTTTTATACCCCTGGGGCTGTCCACTTTGGCATTCCCTGGCGAGGAGGTCACGGGCCCTTCGCAATGAGTGGAGGTTTAATGTTGGTTCCTTTTTCATCCCACAGCTCTCCGGCTGCGAGGCCTATCAAAACTTGCCAGCATATGCCCAAGCCAAACGACGTGGCGCAACAAGCAAGCTGGTCTCCGCTCTCCGAACATCTGCCCAAAGTGGCGGAGAAAAGGTGGATTCAATGGGAAAAAGTGCCTGTAAAACACAGGCACCCAACTCCGGCCCAGAAATGCTAGGTTGCCAGTCCTCACATGCCCAAAAGATCAAGTCAAATAGGCTGCCGCTTGGGGGTCGCGGCTACATATGGGCCAAACTTGGAAACCCCAAGGTGAAAAGACAGGTGTTGGTCCTCTGGAGCGAGTCAACAACACTGAACATCCCACATACGAGCCCCAGGCGAGATCTGGCCAATCAGCGCCTCACCTACTCAGCCCCGGTTCGCAAATCCAGGTGGTTCAAAGGGCCCAGTTTGTCCGCTTCAGTGACAAAGGAACTATGTCCCATTTTGACCTTCCGAACTCCTTGCTGGAGACCGGAAGGCTCGGAGGCCTGTTGTGTTGCACTGGAAGGGCAGGCCGTCAAAGACCCACTTCAGCATTACCTGGGCCGGCGCGGCCATCGCACGAACATGAGGAGGCTTCTTTTGGCAAACCCTGGGCGAAAGCGGGTTGCCCTTCAAAAGATGCGCACACAAACAACCAACCAACCAACCAACCAACCAAACATACAAACAAACAAACAAACAAACAAACAAACAAACAAACAAAGAAACAAACAAAGACACACACACAAACAACACAAACACAAACACAAACACACCTACACACACACACCATGGCCCTGACTCGCGGCTCAAAAGTTCGGTGACTCATTCCTCTGCATCCAAAAGGCGTCCACGGCGAGGTCCACCTGCAGGAAGCTGAAGGTGTGCGACACCCGCTGGGCCAAGTCCACGGAACGCCCTGTGGCGCGCAGCTTGTCCTCGCGCCGGTGAGTGGGTCCTTTGGGGGGTGACCTGCACGCGCACTACCATAGGTGTCCTTCTAGGGGAAATAGATGGGTTTCCCTGGTAGCTGATTAAACCACCAGGTAGACCAGGGCCATCTATCTTTCCAGCAAAAAACCACCAAAAAAGGACACCTCTGCGCATTGCTTGACCATCAAAAGTCACCCCCGAAAGTGGTAGTTTACATGGCAACCAGCCCAGCTGACTTTGAGAACCCCCAGACACAATGACCCCAGGCTTCGGCCGGGAGGAGATTCCGAGTGGCCGTTTGAAACCGAACCGTGGCATTTCTGCGGCCAGTGGGTTGTTTAAACAAAAAAAAAACCTGCCAGGTTCGTGGAAAAAATTAGATGCGTTTGCCACTGACCCAAAAAATTAGATCTCTGAGCCTGGTCCGTATTTGGTGGAAATATTCAATGGGGTACTCTGCTTTCTATCAACTAGAGCTTCATTTGTGCCGCAGGTTGCTCGCGACCAGTGGTTTCCCCTGGGCAAAGGACCAACTGCAAAAAAAACATGTTGCGTCACCATGGGACAGTGAACCAATGACATCGGGCCCAAGAGGAGTTCAATTGCGCCAAGAATGGGGTGTGAATGACCTATCATCATATCTGGGCATGCTGCACAAGAATTGTCAAAACTGGATAAACTGAACGTCAAAAGCAAGTCATTTGGCCACGCGGACACGCATCCGGCCCCTGAAATCACAGGCCTTCCAATGTTGCCAAATGGAAGACACCCTCATGAATTGCATTCATTCTGCAAGGGCACCGGTATGGGAAACGCCCGCAATGGAAAAAGAAGAGAGAGCACTTCCATATGAGGAACCCCTGTCTGGGCTTTATATTGAGAATTCCTTCAAGACAGCTGACTTCTCATTCGTAGAAGTCGATCTCCTCCGAGCAGCGGAGCTGCTCGGAGCAGAACTCCGCACATCAACAAGAACTGATTCTCCAAGTGCCAGGCTCTTGCCATCACAACATGCGGGAAACCCTGCGTAAGAACTACATGTTTGCAGGATGTGAGTCTTTTTTTAGTCTCCTCCAGCATGAAGACGAACTGCATGAGCAGGAGCATTTCACCTGGCGAAGTGATTTTTGCGCCATGGCCTGAACTTTCTTCGCAAGTCAGAGATACGGATATACCCAAAAGTACCCCGAACGGAAGAAATCCGGTGGACAATCAATTCAGTTCTTTGTTTCACCCATCAAACTCATCGACTCGAACTCCATAACTATTCCCTGCCCCAAGTCAAACTGGAGTTTCAGCCAACGGCGGCTCAAACATGAAGTTCAATCTGTCTTCCTGTTCACAGACCTTGCCCTAGCAATAAACCCCCCAGCCGATCCAGCAAATTGCCAATACTTATTCTAAATTACCCAATGCCACTCAGCGAAACTATGCAGATGTGCTTAATAGGGGTCACCCTGGTCATTATGGAGTTCTTAAGGGGGGGGGGTGTAAGGGGGGGGGTAATTTGAAAGCCCCAAGGCTCCCTAGCACTTCCTGGAGCTCCTTAGCAAACCCTAGTGCTCCCTCCCCAAGGACCCCTAAAGGCCCCTAAAAGATTCTTAGCCTCCCTTAAGCTCCCCAGCCTTCCAAGATTTAAGGTCGTTGGCCCCAGGGCTTTTCGGAACCCCTCAAAGTGAGTTCCCCAAAGTGAGCCCCAAGTACAGGGTTTACCGAAGTTTTTCGGAACCCCTCAAAACCCTATTCCCTAAGCTTCCCTAAGGCTCCCCCTTCCCTAGGCTTCCCTAAGCTTCCCTAAGCTTCCCTAAGCTTCCCTAAGCTTCCCTAAGGCTCCCTAGGGCTCCCTAGGGCTCCCTCGTTTGCGTGCGCGTTCGTGTTAGTGTGTGTGTGTGTGTGTGACTCTGTGTGTGTTTGTGTTTGTGTGTGCGTTTGAGTGTTTGGCGAAGAGCTTTGGGCGGGCAAGCGGCTAAGCCGGATGAGGGCTGAGCCGGATTCAGTATTTGAACCCTAGGCCTCCCTAGGGCTCCCTAGTCCACGCCATTTACTCAAATTTACCCCCCCCCCTTACACCCCCCCCCCTTAAGAACTCCATAATGGTCTGACTCACAGGTTGTGTTGTTTGTGTGTTTTTTCCCCCGTTTGTTTTTTCTGATCATGTTTTCCCTCGAACCAAACGGTTGCCTTGCGTGACAAGAGTTTTACTATTCGGGTCTCCACTGGGTTCCCTTCAGAAGGTGGTTTTTATTTGGTTTTAGATTTCTTATGTTGAAAACTTTCTCAGCAAAGCAAAGGGGTTCCCCTTGCCGTCTAATGCCAGTACTAAACAACGCAGTCTGAAACAGTTCTGGCCCAAAACCCGAAGACCCTAGGGGAGGGGAGTTTATCAAACACGGTTTTATTGCTAGGGGGAGAGGATTGTTCCATTGCCATCCTTCTCAAGCCCCATTCGGGGGCCCCCCTGGCAACCATGAGCCATGATTCTAATGTAACAAAACAAAAACATGTTTAGGGCGCTGCAGAAGGTATTCCACAGCTCAATTGGATCCTGCGGACAGGGTGGGACGTTGCTGACGCTTGTGGTTGAAAGGACTTCCATCGGTGCTCGCTTGGGACGAATCTTTGGTGTGAGAGGGATTTATTTTAGAGGCCACCTCTGAGTGATGCGGTCATCCACCCCTTGAACAAAGGTAGCAAGCAAACCTAGATGCCAAAGCTTCATTTGACAGCGGTAGTAGATTGCCCTGCTTGTTCTGGTAAAGGTCCGAACTTGCTTTTATACAGGTCGAACCCTAACAGGAGCAAAGACTTCTCACCACCTGCCCCCCCCCCCAAAAAAAAAGAAAGAAGTGGAGACCAGCACTGGGACTCGAGTGGCAATGGACCAGACCCAGCCCTAGAGCTACAGCTTCGTATGGGAACCTCGTGCAGGCACCACATGGCACCACAGCTGCAATGTCTGTTCAGCCGAACGGCGCTGCGGGCAGAGATGCTGCGAGGCCATTTGTGCAAGGAGTGGTAGGCGTGGACCTTCTCGATGAATGTCTGCGCCTTCTCAATGAGTGTATGCTCTGTAAATGCTCGCCAGCCAACAGTACACCGAGTTGACCTCGCCAACTGCCAAAGAGGCAGCTCATGCTCAGCGAGCCAGGTCTGGAAGTCTGGCTGCCCACACCCGGCCACATCGGTGACAACCTGGACCAAAGGTAGATTCAGGTGGGGCGTGATAAGTAGAAGACGAGACCAAACTGCGCATCGTTTTGAAAATCTTGGAGCTGAAAAGGGGGCCAGAAAAAAAAGGGGCGAAACATTGTTTCCAGCACTAGCAGCCTGTGTGCCCATCCAGCCCAAATTACATTGACGGTGAGTTCGACCAACACATGGTTTACTAGTGCTACTTGCTACTGCTTCTTGCCTTGGTGGAATCCGCTCCAGGTCTTTCCTGAAGAGCCCTTCACCCAGAAATGGCGGACTGAGGGTTGGGGGTCGCTGCCAATTGAAATGTTGGTGACTTCGAAATCAACGCATTCCATTGAGCCATCCCAACACGTCAATGAAATCTGGCAAACAAGTCGCCCACCCCCAAATCTGGGAGCCCTTTGGGCGAGGTCCCAAAGCCAAAACCATGCCACCCAGCGGAAACAGCAACAACGGTTCTTAATCCTGAACGCGGCCCAAAATGGCTTCCTTCCGGGAAAAGGACAAGAGTCATGCTTCAACTCGCCCGCGGATCGGATTGGATCTGCCCACAGTCTGCGGATCGGATCCGCCTGGCGAGATGGCATCCACGTAGACCATCTGATCCCCGCTGGCGCCCAACACCTTTCGGCCCACCTCGGGCGCCGTTGGCCATGTCGGTCCCAACCGCTGCTTTTTGGAGGGTGACGGGAAGGACTGGGCCAGGTTTAGATATTGCGTCCACATCACTTGTTTTAGCATCCTCCGTTAAAAAAACAAACAAACATCACTTGCTTTGGCAACCTCCTTTTTTAACATCTTGTTTGAGCAACCTGCTGTGTTGGTTCCCTTTAAAGGACAGGGTCTGGTTGTATAAAGGCGCTGTGCCCAAACCTGCTTGGTGCTTTTGATGTCTGGCATATGAGATGAATCTTTCTTGGGGACTGTTTGGTACGCATCATTGACGATTTATGTCCACCACCCATTTGCAGGATATTTCCGTATTTCCCATGAACAGCCATACCCAGATTGCAATGACGGAACTGGACACAATGTACATTTCCACGGCACGTGGTGGGTTTGCTGCAATATTTGGGGATATGCTACAAGGGCATGTCGTGATATCTCTTGAAAGCAATGACATATTCCTCTCCCGTGTTTGAGCACTAGCTTGGCCAGGCGGCCAACCAATCAATGCCCTAGCCAACCGACCTAGCTTGCCAACACCCAAAGGAGCCAACAACCTTTGAACTGGAAATGGAGGGCTGGCCAATCATATTCCACCTACACAAATGTATACATAGGGGCAATGTGTATACACGTAAACATGTATATCTATACGTAGAATATAACTATATATATATATATATCATGCCAGGGGAAAATCAATACTGGCATAGCGCTAGGGCAGGATCCTGCAGATCGCCTTTTGAATAGCCCAGTCTCGGGATGGTGTTGAAGGGCTAGCAGCAAAAAAGCAACAAAAAAGAACTCCAAGCAGGCCCCGTGCGGCTCAAGTCCCGAGCCTCCAAATCACACATGCCCAATTCACAAGGGACTGATCAAAGTGACGCCGGATTTCCGCGGCGCGTCATTTCAGCCCTCCAACTGCCATTCCTCGAATCCGCTGGGCCCGCCGGACAGGTACGCGCTCGCGCTCCTTCGAGCGGTTCCGGGGCATCTGCGACATGAACTGCCGAAGCCAGGTCTGGCGCGGCGTTCATTCATGCTCAGGCCCTGAGGCCCATCGTCGAGCTGGGCATGTCCGTCTTTGAGGGTACCCTTTTTTCTGTATGTTTTAAGGGGAAGCCAAGAGGAAAACCAGGTTTTCTTTGAGGGGTTCTCTAGGAAAAGACACGCACACGTCATATTCATTTGCCCCAGAGATTGGGCGAGTGCGCCCAATGACATGTCCTTTACCAAAGATAACGGTGAATATATTCAGCGGCTCCCCATGGGAGGGCGCAGCTTTTCTTTGGTTTGTTGAAAGGAAGTCCAGCCAAAGGTTGTTGGGCGACCGGGGTGACCTTTGAAAATCACCCCGAATCACACACGCACACACACACACACACCAAATTGACAGCCGACATGCAATGTAGATCCCACCAAGATAGACTGAAGGGAAAAAACCGGGCGCGTTATATTTGCCTCTTACGGATCACCCAAATGGCCATAAGGATTCTTTTGCGACCTCCCCTATACATAGGATCCAAGGGCTTAGTTGTTTGTTCCTTTCTTTTTCTGAGGAAACAAGGGGAAACGGTGAGGGAACGCGGTGGAGGTTGGTGTCTCATGATAGAGACATACCAAGATCATCCACGTCTACCGCTGGACATTGGTACCTACACCATGAAATGTACCGCGCATTTTCCACCAACCGAATGGCTCCTGTTTGGAAGCCGCCTGTTTCGGTCAAAAAACAAGAGGCGCAAACCGCGCCTCGGAGAAGCCGAGGGATGGCATGCCCTGCAAGAAGTGCCTGGTGGGAACCAAGGGCATGTCCTCATCCGGGACCTCCACCTTCGAAACACAACGAGGTGCGGGTACTCATTGGAAAAAAGTCGCATGGAAGAAGAAAGCCATCCCTGTTCACTTCAAAAACTTTAGATCAATCATAAGACGCGCAGGTACTCATTGGAGGGAAGATCACATCACAAAAGTTCGGAGGGAGAAAAAGAAAGGAATGGTGAAAAACAGGTTGAGAGGGTGTTTGAGGAGGAGCCCGTCGGCTGGGGCCCCGAATAGAAATACAAAACCAACGGAGGACGCCAAGGGTCACCTGGACGATTCATTTTGGGATGTGTGTGGGACCAGGATGTTGCTCGTTGGGATATTATGTGTACATGTCTATATATATATATACACGCGTTTTACAAATCATTACATATCTTTACACACAATTAAACAAAACAAAGAACAACTTTTTTGGCAGGGGGTGTTTTGTGTGGCAGGGAGCAGCTTGAGTTGTAGCGCGAAGTAATGTTAGATAGCGATTAATAAAACGGGAGTGAATACCGAAAAAAAAAAAAAAAAAAAAAAAAAAAAAAAAAAAAAAAAAAAAAAAAAAAAAAAAAAAAAAAAAAAAAAAAAAAAAACATCTCAAAATTATTCACTCTCCTGAAAAGCAAAAAGCAGAAAAAAATATGCCCGAAATCCCGAAAATATGTCTCCTTCCAAGAATGGACTATTTTTGAGGGTTGAAACGTTTGAGTCCAGCCAGAAATGTCCAGAATTTCTGGATTGCTTCCTGTCCCAAACCACCAAATTCCTTATCAATCCCTTTACTAGAAGATGCACCCTGACAAATTTTCAAGGGGGTGGCACACGGAACCCCCAGGAAGGCAATAATGCAGGTTGCTTAAGGGTAGGGAATTGTGAAGACAAAACTGGCCAGGGCAGCCTGCCAAGAAGAAAGCCCTGCTGTTCTCAGATACAGCCAGAAATGTCCAGAATTTCTGGATTGCTTCCTGTCCCAAACCACCAAATTCCTTATCAATCCCTTTACTGGAAGATGCACCCTAACAAATTTTCAAGGGGGTGGCACACGGAACCCCCAGGAAGGCAATAATGCAGTTTGTTTAACGGTAGGGAATTGTGAAAAACAATGGCCAGGGCAGCCTGCCAAGAAGAAGAACCAATACTAAACCAATTCTAAACTGTAGTGAGTCAACTGAAAAGAATACTGAACTAATACTAAACCAATTCTAAACCGTAGTGAGCCAGCTCAAAGGAATACTAAACCAATACTAAACCAATTCTAAACAATACTTACTGGAAAACTACTCAGGCAGGTCCCAGTCTGATCCCCATTTTGTTTTTGGGGGTTCTCGCTGTTGACCCCCCCAATTTGTTTGAGGGGGGGGGGCCTTTGTTAATCACTCCCCAACATTACACTGTTCGAAAGCCCACAAAAAAAAGCGACTCAAAAGCAATTTAAATGGAAACCAAATAAACAACTAGCCAGTTTTGGGCTCTGTTGCTTGTGGCTTCTAAAAGTGAAGCATTTGGGGGGGGGACCCCAAATAGGGATCGAGTTGGAGTCACGCGGGAACATCGCTGGCTTAGTATTGGTTTAGCATTGGCCCGTTCAAAATTTAGTACTCCCAGACCTGATTCGTTTGGGGGTCTGCAAAGATAAGTTCGGGGGGGACCTTCGTCATTGTGAAGAAGGGAGTATGGCGCTTTCCATGACTTCTGAAGTCATCTGAGCAGACTAAGTTTTCTATGAAACATGTGCTTCTGCAAATGTGACTCTGCACCTTTGTTCCCCCAACTGTTCCCCCTAATGTGCCTCGTCATCGCTCAAGACGGTCGTGACCTCTGCCTCTGCCTCAGTCTTCACCTGCCGCGCGACCAGCTTGCGGCATCCTTCTGCATATGAAGTCACTTGTGGGGAACACCCTTTGACAAAATATCAGATCTGTTTCATCCGGGTCGACAGTGAAGCAAGAGGTTGAAGAAACACCCGAATGTTTGGAAGGGACCCAAAAAGCCGGCCGCAACCTACTTTAGCAAGTTCGGACTTCCTGCATAACCAGGCACACCGACCCACAAACTGTGTTGTTGCAAGTACAATGTGCTATCCAAACCAAAAAAATGGGTGTGTCGTGTCTTGAGGGTACCCCCTTTGTGTGGTTTTAGAGGGAAACCAACAGGAACACCACCATTTTCGACATCCCCTATAAAAAGACACACCCAAATCATTGCCCAAATGTAAGTTGGGTCTTCATCGTGATCCCATGTTCCCTTGCATCCATCTTTCAGGAATCTACGCCCTGGACAGGCAATGAGAATCCGCTGAGTGGGTTCAAGCTGGGCGAATGATCGTGATTCACCAAACTGGAATATAAAATGCACCTCACGCGGAAGAAAGCTGCATCATACGTGAAGTGGGCAAACCGAAACCTATGGTCGCGACTTTTGCACAAAATGCTGCTCAAGTGTCCTAGGGTAAACAATTCGCCAGAAAAGGATGCAAGCAAAGACAACAGTACCCCCTCCCCCCACAACTGCCTTTTCCCATGTCCAAACTCCTCAAGTACTGTCCAGAAAGCGGTGGTTGGGTGCTGGAAAGCAATTGTCTACCCTTGTGGTTTCGTGTGTAACGAAGGCATCACACGTGTGTCGGGTTCTCCCCGGCGCACCCGCTTCTTTGGCGGCTCTGCGGCTGGCGCCTCCTAGTGGTTGCTGGTTGTTTTTGGGTTTTGAAACGGGACGTTGCTCATGTTGCTTGACCACGATCAGACACTCTGATGCGTGGTAAGTGAAAAAATGATGAACACCTTCTACAAACCAGCCAAAGACTTCAGGTCAATAATCCTGCCCAGAGACAATACGGCCAAGGAAAACACAGCGCCATGTCGGCTAGGGGATCTTCGGTGGGGTAGGGTCTCTGGAAATTGGAGCACGCTAGATGGTGAGCGTGAACCTTTGCTCAATTGGACCTGATGACAACTTGCTTGACAATCGCTTGTTTAACGTCTCCGCTCCGCCTCCAATAGGCCCAAACTTTGCGAATTGTACCTTTCCGAGAGAAACTTACATGAAACCAAAAAGTTGGGAGGGTCGATTCCTTGTGCTTGCAGCCGAGCTTGGAGGCACAGCCTCATGTCAGGGATCCATCTCGGTGATTTTGGCCATCAGCTTCATCTCAGCCAAATGCTCCCGTCGTGGCTTGGTTTTCGGCCTAGGACGGGTATCCTCAAACCCTCCCGCTGAAAGGATCCGCTTTTGGGGCCCCGCTCCGGGCCCGGAAACATGTGGACAGACAAGCGGCTCATGTTCACCAGCCTCCAAAATGCCCTCTTTCTCTGTGCATTTTCCGAATCAAACCTGAATTTGCTCCGCAAAGGCTGGTTGTATGAATCCTGTCAACCCAACGCCGTTTTGGGCCCTGTACACGCACCCCAGCGAATGGATCCTTCAAAAACTGCATAGTTCAAGCCTCAATTAAGGCGCACCCAACGGAAGCTTCATGGGGCCGGCCGTTCCCCCAGTTTTCACGAACCGCTTCTCATTGGTCAGGGCATCTTCCTATTGTTCCGAAAAGAAATCGGGGCTTCGATTCCACCAATCCAAACCAGCAAGGAATTAGGGCTAAGTTGAGAATTGGGGAGCTCATAGTGCAGCTCTTTCCGGTTGGCAAAAGCAGATCTTCCGGGCACATACACGCTGCAGCGCTCGTTCCGGAAAACCATGCCGCCCCCTTTTTTGGTCCATCAGTACATAAACACAACGATAACCTTACTAGGGGTGGTAACTCATCCAAAAAGACTGCAGGTTGACCGTGTCCCCAATCAACCTGTACCTGTGAGGGGATTCTAACAGACCTCGAAGGGACTAACAGGCTTTGTCTTGCCGCCGCTGTTCAGTCCTGCCGCGCACGGGGATCCATTGGCCGTGGATCCTTGGCCTCGGACAAAGAAGCAGGGAGGTCGCTGTGGTGTGAATTTTTGATTGGGGACGCTTTGGTAGACATCATTCAACCATGTAGGGTGCTCCTTAACGACGTGCCTCCCGATTTGAAGGGATTTCGTTTTTCTGCGAGGACTCGAGGATAGTTCTGGCCTTGAGACAGGTGAGAATGAAGGATTCCATTTTGGCAACGGACTACATAGCTCTTAAGAGGGCTCAGACAATAGGTCAAGCTAGGGTGAACTCGAAGGCCTATCTGTCCGAAAGCACATGCCCATGACCCTGCACATATTTGGATCCCTCTGTAGTCGCAGCCAATTTTAAGAAACAGGCGAATGACAGGATATGCATGTACTGCATGTTCACGCACCTGGATCAGATTCCGGCAGGGCACAATCGATCTATCCTGGGCATCCAGGTGTGGCCTTTTGACAATGTCAATGGTCTGTTTCAAAATCAAGCCGGCCCCTCTTTTGTAAAGAAACACTCTCTTTCAAAGAGGCCTACTGGAACAACAAAAGCCCCTTGACAGTGAATGTCCAGCGATGTCTTCAACCCTTACTTGTTCAAACAAGCACTTTGCAGTTTTCCCTCCGTTCTGACTCTATTGTATTGCCAAAGTACCCCGCAAGTGCTTGATTTAAGGGAGATGACCCCAACTCTGGCTATGGCGCCTAAACGTGGGACCAACTGTATGCACCCAGCAGGGCTAGAGGCCGGTCGTTCAAACCTATTAAGCTGCACCCACAACCAACTGCCATTTTGTTCTGCGATGAATTACAAAGGGTTTGTGTTGGCTTTGGCTTTTCCATGGATCACCAGTAAACCACGATCCAAGTAACATGGAAGCTGACTGGCGCCTGAAAGGCTAAGTTGGGACCTGGGTTCCATGTTCCTAGCACAGCGAAGCCCTCGTAACGCGCCCACGGGGTTTTCGACCCCACCCCCGGCGACCGCCCTCTCGGCCGCCCTGCAGTGCTCACTTTCGCCTCCCGGGGGTCCTGCGGCCTGCAGGGGGGGGGGGGGGCGATTGTTGAGCACAGTTATGTATATATATATATATATATCTAGTGTGGATATACTTATATATATGTATATATGAATATCATGGGGGTCGGGATCCATGGTTCTTGTTGAAACATGATAAAGTGCTTGCCTTTGGTAAAATGAATGCTTGTTTGTTGGTCGATTCGAGCAAGCTCGCTTTTACAAGTTCCTAGGAACGAAGGTGATGAGGTTGTGACCAAGCACCACTCAACCGCAACACAACTGTCCGTCTTCGGCGGCTGCGAGTCTTTCTGGTTTACGGGTCCACTTTGTTGAGTCGACAGCTCGAACAACCGAGTGTTCCATTGCTGGCTGACATCCACAGCAGTCGATCGCGAGCAAAGGCCCGCAACCCCGGGTGCAGTGCCATATGTCTGGGTCACCGGCTTCCGCTCCATCCGTGGATCCTGGGCAAAGTCACAAACATTCCCAGATTTGGTCACAATTCGGGGACCCAACCAAAAAAATGGCTGGCCTTTTCGCTTCACTTTAATCCAAGAGAAGGGAACCCTCAAAAATAGACAAACCCATGGTGAACCAAGTTGCTCAAAGATCTAGTTCTGGTCTCCGCGAAGCACTGGCAACTTCTTCAACCCCACGTGGCATCCTGAAACCAGTGCGGGACCATTTCTCCGTCTTTCCAAAAGCCGCATACAGTATTGAATGAGAATATTTTTTGCATGACAATTTACAGTGCAAGAAGTGTTTTCAGGTAGTAGATTGCCTGCAAGGCCCGGCACTTTGTAGAAATTGGCTTCGAGGGAAATTGGGGGGAAGCAGCAGGGAAGCAGCACCACTTAATCATTGAGACACATCCCTCCCTTCCATGTTTCCATGGCCATGCAGAATTTTGCCCTCCTGAAATCAGCTGGTGTTCAGGCAGGCCGGGCCCAGCCTAAATTCACCATCATTTAAGTGACTATTATATGGCTATGAATCTTAACGGGGAACCCCCTCAAAAGCGGCTGGTTGACAGGAATCCCCAACTAAACGATGTCCACCAAAGGGTCCCTAATTCAAATGAACACCCATATGACTCGTTGTGTACTAAATTTCAAACCGCGTTGTCAGTTCTGGTAATTCCTTCGTAGAAACCTTTGCTCGCAGCCTGAAATCCAGCTGAGTTCATCCATACGGTCAAGCAACAATGACACGCTTTGGTGTGGGAGTGGTCTCCTTTGGCTCATGGCCCCTGTTTGGACCCAGGCGCCTCCGCCTTAAGATGGAAACCTCTAAGTTTGACACCCAAATGGACCCCCTACAAACGGGCAGGGGAATAAAATGGACAAAAAACAAAAATACAAACGGCTGGGAGGAAAAACGGGGGACTCAAAAAGGGTAGGGGAGCTCTAAAAGGATCTGACGCTTCACCAGGCGCCGCGCCGCTGGGCGGGCGGCGCCGGCGGCGGCCAGGCGGGGGTCCTCGGGTTGAGCAGTGCTTCCAGGCGTTTTGCCACCTCCGTTGGCGTACGTCTCCTGGAAGAAAGAACAAAATGCTCAGGGGAAAACAAAATATTAAGCAAATGGAAGACTGTCGTAGGTAAGGGGAAGCCATGGAAAACCTGGAGGTAGCCACACCGAAGGGTTACCTAAAGAGGTAACTGGAAGCACTGGGAAAGTCACCCAAGAATCAGCCTCCAAAAAAGATCCTAGGGCATGCCCCTCCCAAACTGAGATCAGCATCACTTCCGGAAAACGTTGCTTTTTTACCCTTTTGCCGACCATCATCAAAGCGGACAAGAGGGTCTGTAAGCGGACGGTGGTCTTCAAACCCTCCTTTGTTGGAGGGACGATAGGATTTGGAGACGATGGTTTGGGTTTTGGTTTGCTTACCTGTGACATGTTGGTCTTTTGTCGGCGGTAGACATGTGTTTGTTTGGCTTTGGTTTTTTGTCGGCTTCTGATAGCATTGGCCATGTCAAAGTGACCAGTTCCAGGGACGCCCTGGAGGAAGTGAGCCTCTGGTCATGGTTCCTCTGCGAATGAGCCATGGTCAAAACTAAAAACTCATTGTGTAAAACTCTCTGATGAGTGGCGGTTGATCATCCCTACCCACCCTAAGCTTGCCTGTTCACCATAGCACAAATGTTCCTCCAGGTTTTCCTCCAACCATCAAGGTCGCACGTGTTTCAGGGTCCATTGGAAAAGCCTGGACATGCCTAGGATGAGATCCGAGTACAGTCTTGCGGGGGCCCGAGAAGGCCGTCCCATAGACTGCCCCACAGCGTGCTGTTTGCAATGCTTGGAACCGGTTGGGATGCTTTTTTGTTTTGCTCGGCCGGACATAGCGCATCTGAGTTTTGCAAACGCAACGCGTTTGGCAAGCTGCGCTGTGCGAATTCATGCATTCCCAGCGCTTGTTGGCTTCAAGAAAGGCGATCCCGAAAGTGAAGGGATGAATCGAGGTGAATGGAATGATTCTGTCTAACGGCTGCTTGCTCTGAATTGAAGAACACTTTGTCCAGCAACAGCCAGACAATCCTACCCAAGACCCCACAGCCCCACGCCCCCACGCCCCTTTCACCACGCACACGAAAGACAGCCACAGCGTCGCCCGGGAACGCATCAAATCAAGTTCGGCGCTTGGGGAAGTGTTAATATAAAGGGAAGCAAAGTTGTCTTATCAAGCTTAATCAATAGATATCGCGCAGTCTGTCATTCAAGAAGAAGAAACTACTCTACATTTTGACACCTTGGATTGTTGGGCCGCCCCCCTCCCCTCTTTTCGCCCTTGCCTTCCCGGCGATCTCCTTATGCCTGGCTGGCAGACGGGCTGCGTGGTCCGGAAGGAGAACGGCAGCGGAACAAGGTTGGTCTCTGCAGGCGTGCAGTTGGGATTCATCCAGCGAGCTTGATAGGTGATTTGGCGAAAGTTGACGCAAGATGACGCAAGCACCAGATGCACTGGGTCGTGCAAATAGCACGGCAACATCGTAAGTGAGGATGTCGGTTTTAAAGCTGGTACGGGTACTCCACGCAACAGCACAGCCCTCAGGATGGTGTTCACCCCGAGGTATGCGCGGAGTTGTATCGGTAGGCCCGGTGTTCTACCAAGCCGTCGCATGCGTAGAGTAGGTCAAGTGCGTGTGCGCGCTCCTGCGCATTTGCGGCACCACGCAGAAAATGGGGAGGGGAGGGAGAGAAAAAGAGAGAGAGAGAGAGAGAACAGAAAAGAAGTTGGGCAAAAAAGAGCGGAGCAGGAAGGGAAGAAGAGTTCCAGAAAGTGGAACAGGGGCAGGCAAATCAGAACAAAAGTCAAAGCAGGGAGGACAGGAAGTGAGAGGCAGGAAAAGCGGGAGAGAAGAGCAATAAGGTCCATAAAAGTGACATTCTCAAAATTGGCCTCAAAGTTGTTCTTTTGTGGGAAACTTCTCCAGACATAATTGTGAGATACTATCAACATGTCCACTTTGAGGACCCCAAAAAAGACTGGTGGTCGGCGACGATGCGAGGACAGCCCAGACACGCCAAAGCTTAGCCCAGTTGCTCAGCTGGGAGAAAAAAGGGAACCTTTGTTATTTTAGGTACTAGCATTCGGGACTGTTTGCTTCCAGTTGCAATGTGGCTCAGCTGCTCCTTGTCAAGCCTGTTGGAAACAGTCCCACAGCAAAGCAAGCAATGCGTCTGGCCAAGGTGCTACCAAGCCTCCATGCGTTGGAACTCCAACCAGAACAACTCCGCCTGTCAATCCTAACACCTTCTTCGTCTGTGGTAAGCCCCACTTCCACTTCCATGATGATTCCGGAAGACTGCACTCGGAGATCTCCCCCTTGAACAGATCTCACAGGAAGGAACAAAGCAAACAAATAGTCTATGCAGAAAAGGTCTGCTTCAATCCCTAGACACACTAATTTGTTGCACCACTTGAGCGAGAAGCTGTGCTGCCCATGGCAGTCACCCACACATAACCCTGCGCGCCTCCGCTCAAGCTCCTGGCAAACATTTGAAAGCCTTCGCTCCAAGGGAAGGCGATTCCCTAAACGCGTTTAAATGCATACTCAGGATTGATGGCTGATTCTCCTACAATTTCGGTTCAGGGGTGGCAAATGTTCGATTCTGTGGATGCTTGCATTTTTGATTTGCGTGAATATATATATATATATATATGTATATGTATTAATAAAAAACAAAATGCCACACAATAAACATGCGCATATATATATATATAGCAAAGCTACAGCTGGAGATAAACGTATGTCACTCAAGTGTTGTCTGCAAAACAACATCCACGGCCATGGGTTTCCTGTACACAAGGGATTCACAAGTTGTTGTTGTTTTACTGAGGGTGCGGATTGAGAAGTCCTCTAGCATCTGAGTTGCTCGATGCATATGATGGAGCACGGTGAAGCTCTCTTTGGACTTCATGTGCTGTGCAGAAGTGTAACGAAAGGATCACAGAGTCACTGAACCGCTGGACATTTGCGGTTTAGCGGGTCAGGGAAAAAAGCGATGAGCGCTATCACCTCCACATGTGGATTGTTACCCTCCTTCGAGCTAAAATGAAAGCTCGCAAGACCCCAAGAGACCTGTTGTGTTGCCGCCTCCGGGAACATACTTGCATGCTTCCAACAGTGATGAAAGGACAACCCTGAGACCTTCTGTGAGGGGAACTCTTGAGAGAGGGATCTGAGTCAGGATGCCCCACATCAGGGAAGGCAGTTCCATTTAGTTGAAGTCAATTCAAGATCACTCCAACACCAATGACAGTCCGGTTGGAGGGGGTGCCAAACATTGAGGATCGCTCTGACTCGTTGTTTCACGGCACACCTAAGGGAGCGCTGCCATCTTCAGTTGAAGTCCTAGTTTCGGAACCACCACGGCCTGACAAGTTGGTTTGCCTCAGTGAAGCTTGGAGACCATGTTATACACTCGGAACATCTTAGTTCCCGATTGAAATTCCCCGTCCTATTACAACACGATTGGGAGCTTTCGAGGAGTGGTAGCTTCAGAGGCTTGATATGAGATGTTATATAAGAAGTGAGCAGGCATTGGCAGCTTTCTGATATGGGATCGAAGGAGATGTTGCATTGACAACTATGTGAATGGGCCACCCACATCCAAGTGAGAGATCACAATTGCGAAGACGACACAAGGCTTGCCTCCAAGAAAGCGTACCATGTCTCAACGGTTGCACCGTAAAACACACATTGGTCGGCCGCATTTGGAAAGCACATCATCATTCACTACACTTCACTACGTGGGCGTGTCTGGAAACAGGGGAACCCCCAAACGGGATCCAAACGGGATGGTTGTCCTGTTGGTTTCCCTTTAAGCCAATCCAAAAACGCGCACCCTTAAATAGTCCACCCACAAGATCCAAATTGACCAGATCCACCGAAACTCCACCTCGCTGGTTTCATGGGATGATGGAAAGCCAGCCACTTGTTGGCAGAAGTGAACGTCGGCAACACCAGAGAGGTTTACTCCTTTTTCGCTTTCGGCGTTTATGGCCCAGCCTGCTTGAACTGCGAGAGCAGCGCTGTAGCCTGGCAAGCGAAATGCACCCACCAACCATGAAAGTGCAAACTCCAAAGTCTACGTTGTTTTGGAAGAGGGGTCTGGTTTGTGAAGGTTCACCGGCCGAAACTACAGATCCCTGTGACAGCAATCTTCATCCTCGAAACCAGCTCTGAGGTCGCTAAAGGCCCAGAGCATCGTGGCTTCTCGAGGCTACAGCTCCCCCTCAAACATCACCCCGCCTTCACGAAACTCACATTGGCCCCTGAGGCACCGCCTAAAGCCAAAGCCAAAACAAAGGAAACCATAGCCAGCCCTGTTTCCCATACAATTGCGGACTCCTGAACCCGCATTTTGCGATCAACGTGTTGATAGACCTGGTAATACATGGCCTGGCTATAAGATAGCTTCCAGTACCCAGTCCCGCCCTCCACCCCAGCCACTACCCTTGAACGGAAAGTGATCATGTACTCGATACATGGTGGTTACGTAGCATGCTATACGCCTTGATCGACTTGGGAAACGTGGTTTGGGGAGAGCGGAAACCATCTGAAAGGGCAAGAGAGCTGTTGAATTCGAGCAAAAGGTGACTAGACAAGGCCTGCAGGGATTGGGAGGGCTCGTTGGTGGCTCTGAAGAGTCCGAGCGCGAAAATAGCTGCACGGCGAGCCAACAAAAACACCGGGTCCTCCATGATGCAATCGCGAGAACCAAGGAACCAACCACAGCCTGCCAAGAGGCAAATACAAGATCATAGTGAATGCCCTTCAGGGTAGGCCCTCGCAACTGGAGCTGAAGCTAAACTCTTTGTTGCAAACACGTATTGTGCGAGCAAGGCTCCATTCTCTCATTCGGTCCTACTACAGAGTTTGACGTGTGCAATCGCTGTCTGCACTTGGGGAACTACGGCTGGATCTGCCAACAGCCCACTTTTCAGGGACTTTACGACCCCCTCAAACAGCGTCAAAACAGAGTGGTCTTATCCGACAAATCAAATAGCAGTGTGACTTTTTGACCACCATTCAAGCAAATCAAGTTGAAGGAGTGACGAAACAGTGACCTTTCTTGGGCACCTTTCGTGCCTCATTTTGTGGGGTACACTTTAAAAGGAAAGCCACCAGTTTGGCGGGGGTCCTCTAAAAGAATACACCCCCAATCAAGTCATCATCAAAAACCCGGTACAAAAATGGTGAACCCAGAACCATGTAAGGAATTGAAAAGGCGGCCGCAACCAGGGCTCCACTTTTTGACTACCCCAAGATAGGCTTAAACCCAGAATTTCCCCTTTTGCGGGTAATGACCCACCCCTGGGCATAAGCCTACCCTGGTCAAAAAGTGGAACCCTGGCCGCAACGATCTCCGGCTTCGTTGGGATCGCTCATTTGCTCAGCACCGAACGACGGGAGGCCTCCTGACGCTGGTTCTTCTGCTGCATGGCCTCAGGGAGCCCCAGACTGGACATGGGCGACAAATGAGTCGCAATCAAAAAATCGAATGAAACTGGGCTACCCAAATCCACGTAAAGAAATGCCAGGGCAATATTCTCAAGGTTTGGATTGTGCCTGCCTGTGCCCTCCTCCGGTCTTAAGTGGGTTTGATTTTATGGCTGAAATGGGTGCGAATTGAGAGCATCCGTCCTCTCATGTCGGGGCCCGGGGTTATGGATTTTATTTGGGAATTCTTTGGTGGACATTTGGATCTATGCCCACCATGTTTGAGGGTGAAAAACCACTGAAATGTACAGCAAACTCGCCGACACTGCTAATCGTCCTTTCGATCGTTCCGATTAGCTTCTGACTATGACTGTTTGACCGGAGACACCCGGCAGAAACAGCAAGTGGCATCCAAGCAGCTCATATCAGTCGTTGGAACTGAAACGAGATTGAACCTATCCTTCACCCGCCCCCACAAATGGATGACATGGCTGTGGGTGTCAAAACCAATAGTACCATTTTGGGGTAGGTGAATTCACCACCCATTTTAGTCTATTCTAGTGGGGCTCGGGATGTTCACTGGCGGTACGATTTGGCTTTTGACCCATGGCCACATCCAAGACTTAAAATGGCTCCGAGGCATCAAGCCACAAGACTGAGCTGCCCGTTTTCAGATCCCCTGCTGAAAGTTGAGAACTTTTAGTGGGTGACATTTGGAAACCACCACTAAACACTACAAGGCTAAAAAGGCTAAGGGGATGGCTAGGAGCCACCAAGAAAAGACACCATGTTTGACGCAGCCTCAAGTGGAAGATGTCGACTTCACACAGACAGGTCTTTGCACAAGCAAACGGCCTTGTATTATCTTGGTAGACGCCACAAGCAAGGGTAGGGGCAATGCTACGCGCAAGAGTATGAACCACGCAACCGCAGAAATGTAGGAAGCAAGCGGCCTCAAACATGAAGCTCTGAATCATTTGAGCCATGTCCAAAGCAAAGGTTCCCACGTCGGTTAAATCGTTTGGGCACTGTGCTGCTTGGAAACGGAACAATCCACCACGCAAACTCATTGTGTACATCTCTCAGTATGACTGGGGCTCGGACAATGGCTTTCCGAATTTCCGGCACCTGGCTGATTGGCAGAGTCCGTCAAAAACTGGTCAAATAGAAACACGTCAAAACGAGATGAGCCTACTTCGGGATGGTCTCAAAAGAAGACTCAAGAAAACCCAAGCATTGGGAAGAGCCCTACCAAATACGACACTCCGATCTTGCTTATAGCTTGGCACGTGAAGGTTGCACAGGAAGATCAAGACTTGCAATCCCACACCCCATCAAATCCCAGGACTCTAAGCCTTTCATATCTTCCCGAGTCGCCCCAATATTCCCGAGTCGCGTGCCTTCTCTAGCTGGTCACATGGCAAGGGTCCAAGCACAGTTCACTCTCGATGCACGAGAGAGGCGACCTTGCTTTTGGGAAGGGCTTCGGGGTCAGCTGTGGGCAAACGTGTGCGGTGCGGTGTGTAAGATGCCCTTTGCAGGATTGATGCAAAGGAAGGAGAACTAGCCAACACGTTCCACGTTTTTGGGAGGGTATCAATGGCAATGGACTCTCGCCCACTTGTTCCCCAAGGGGCTCTGATGAACAAGTCGGTGATTAGTTCCTGTGGTTGATATTCAACCGACGCTGAAGGATTTCCAAGGGTGCTACTGGACACCTCTACGGGGACGGGGGAGGGCAGGCAATAAATCCAGTATACATTTGTGAGTAGCCTGTCCCCCCGGCGACACACGCTCGGGCCTTCATGATCTCTTGGAGCTCATCTGGGCGAGGAGGTTTCCGCCTAAGGCAAGTGAGTGCAGGGGTGGGTTCGCCTTACACATACGACTATGTACTGCATATATGATGGCACCGTTTGTACCAGGGCAAAGCTAAGTTTGAACATACGGGTGCCTTGTTCGTTTCCCTCGTCCGAACAAAACTCTAGCCCGGTTGAGCATTGAGTTTGGACAATAGCAAGTCATAACTGTTCAAGAGAAGCGCGAGCCACCAGCGGTGATGTTATTTCGCACTCTCACACTACAACTACCATCAGGCATCTTCTCCATTATTACCATTCTTAGCTATCACGTACACATTGCACATCGAAAGAGGCGTCAATCGCTCCGAATCACAGATATCCCCCCCCAAACAGCAACATGCCTCTACGAAGCAGCAAATACTGCTTGTGGCCATCGTTTGAATCACGCGCTTGGTTGATTCCGGGGTCACAAGCTGTTGTCGCCCATAGCCATGTTGTACCTTGAATTCTGAATATCGCTGTTTTCGATTTGTGAAACTACGTATCGGCAGATCCGCGCGCCACTTGGGACAATTTGATCAGATGGCAATAAACCCGGACGAAGCCCCTGTCAATTTCATGATTGCGGATCAACGGCCACTTCCCCAAAGCAAGAAAAACACAGACCCGCCGACGACCCATATTCATATGGTCAGGGTGCCGCCAACACGGTTGTTCTTTGAGGTCAGCTTGCCCTTAATCATACCCCACAGGATCCCCCCCAAGTCACAACCCCCAGCCCAATAAGGGAGAAGCCCTGCAACCCCCTCTCGCCCTCCAGCCCGCCCCGCATCCTCGCAGGCCAGCCAAGAGCCAAGAGCCAAGCTCGATGATCTTGGTGAGGATGCGCAGGCGCCGCTCCACTTGCTCGTCCGACTCCGGCACCTCTCACGCACCGAGCGGGTTTCGTCTGACTTGCAACGTGGCTTCCCCATGGAAGCAGGTTTATTTAGGTTCGGGAAAACTGGGAAAACCGGGACACCCTATACCGACTTTTATAGAAACCAGTCCTTCCAGCCTGGCTTGAATTCTACAAAAAGACCAACAGACCAACAACAAAAAAAAACAAGAAAACACAAACATGGCGCATGAGGGCCTCTTTTCGCATCCTGGTGCGTTGAAGGTATCCCAGAGGTTAAGCTGCTTCCCTCCCCGGATGTGCGCGGCCCCTTGGACTCGGCCCCGGACTGATCGAACCCGGGACCAAAATTGGCAAACCCCAGCACCAGGCAAAGAGTTAGGAAGGCGGACATCCGCAACTATTTCTGGCTGGGACTGCCCCTTACCAACCTTCATCTACCCGAATCGGTTTTGAGCACGTGGCTCAAATGGATCCACTAAAAAAAGAAGAAGGGAGTACTCTAGGGGTCATGACAACCCTGGGCCCATTGGATTGGAGACCCCCGCCCCCCAGGAGGCTAAGATCAAGGGCTCGCGGTAAGGGCCTTGCGGCCCAGTTCTCAGTGGGGAACAGTGAGTGACAAACGAAAAGCTCCGTGCTGCAAGTGGCTTGCTTTGATTTCACTGGGAATCCACCTGGATCTAGCAAGATCAAGCAAGCGCCCAGAAAGGTGAGCTTTTCTTCGGGCACTGCCGAGGCTTCCAGCCTGTGTCGGCGACGAGGGGCCCTGGGCCCAAGCAAAAGAAGAGGTTAAGCCGGTGGCCAAGAGAAAGGACGGAGGGGCAATCAGGGTTTCGGCGTATCTTTTGAGAACACCCAAAGCTGGTTCCTAAACCTGGCAACAATCAGGGCGGCATAGCCAAAAGGAAACACGATCAAAACCTGTGGAACTACCAAATAAGTCTGGCACTGAAACTCCACAAAAGTTGGGCCACGCTCGGAAAACCGAAAGGTCCAAAGGGTCGGCGTTGAGCAAGTGAAGTTTTTTCACCGATTGGTCACGTGACAGGAAAATCCAGAAACAACCTTGCTGACTTGAGCGACGGCAACTCCAACCAAAACACGGACAACTCAACTTGGTGCCGCTGCACGACTTGACCCCGATCCGCAAATCTCGGGGCTTCCCATGTGTCCCTTTCAAGCATCAGCCCCGAAGCAGACTCAACCAACATGGCCCAAGGTAATTTCACATCACCCAAGGGACATATGGGTGTGGCTCAAAATTAAACAGGAGGGGCAAACCGCAGCTTTTGGTCCATGTTCCCACTTACCGGGGCAAGCCATTTTGGTGCCGGTTTTTTGAGCCACAGCCATATACGGACTGAGAAGCTTACACTGAGAGCGCCTATTGGCGGCCACCCATTGCGTGGTGGGCATATTTCTTGCTTGCCACCTACTCAAAGGCAAAGCTTCAAAATACCAAAGAGCGGCGAGATGTTCCGACGGTGCATCAGCGAATCTGTTTTCAACTTGGGTCGCAAAATCAAAGCCTGGTACAAAAATGGCACCCAAACCCCATGGGAATGGGAGGAATGAATTTGAAGAGCGGATATCGGCCCCAAAACCCGAGAAGTCGGGGCGGCTGTCCCTACCAATTCCCTGGACTTTGGTTGTGACTCGCATAAAAAAAGTGCCGCTCGTCTCTCCAGGCCCACAGAAAGCCTCCCTGAGGGGTGGCCTACGAACCTCAAACGCATGTTTCGAACTTCTGTCAGGCGCGGCTCTGGTTTTCCGGAAGAACACCTGCCAAAATAAGTTAGACAGTCACAAAACAAAAGAAGTTGGGTCAAAAAAAAGCAGACAAGTTAGATTGGTGCAAGATTGGTCTGATAGACCACGAATTTAGGTCAAGACAGTCACAAAACAACTGGATCCACAGAGGTTTGCCCCATGCGATCGGTACCTGGTGCCCCCGTGTCAACCTCCTTCTTGACCCGTAGCCAAAGGGTCAAGCCGTTCATGGCCCGTTGCAAGCCGAGACTTGGGTAGCTGGGTCTGTCCTTTTCGTTTCATTTGGTCGCCCGTGTTTGGTGGTTTTAGAGCAAACCAAGAGGAAAACGAGGGCCGTGGGGCCCGGCCGGAGGCGCTCCAGCCGGGGGTGGCGGAACCTAGGCGTTCTCAAGTTGGGCTGCCCCCTCGACCGCCACATGACGGAACCGTAGACCATCTGTCCGATGCTGGGCTGCCTTGAAGCCAGTTGGGCCCTACAAACGCCAAGCACAATGAGAGCAACTGGTGAACATCTCGACACGGAATCAAGGCGCAGTTTCCTTGTTGAGATCAGTCAAAATCATAAATTTCGCGCAACCCGTACAAACCTTAAGCAATCATGATTTTATCTATTCACCGCACGAAGGGATGTGACAAGAATAGAACTCCACAGAATTCTTATTGGCTTCTTGCACAAGGAAACTGTAAGGGAAGCCATCCTGGAGCAACGGCCCCTGGTGTCCTCCCAATGGGATATGACGAATGAAGCATGGTGGCGGAGAAGGTGTCCAGAGCAGCGCAATAGCCACATTCTGTGCCCGGGTAGGTGGCGAGCGAAACAAGCCCATTAAAGTGACATTCTCAGAAGTACCCTCATGGCTTCAAGGGGCCACAACCCCTTGAACATAGTTGGTTTTTCGAACCTTGGACAAGAGGTTCACTGCAGGGAACGCAGAAACCTGTTGGCAAACCCACTCACACACACACACACACAACCCCGCCAGCGGCCAACAAATTTGCTCGCTGGGCGCCGGTGCTGGCGAAAATGGGGCCTGCGCGGTGGGGGAACGAGGCTTGGCAAACAAGGCACAAGTGACCGAACAAGAAGTGAGATGGAATCAGTCCTCAAGTGTGCAGGTGCACGCACATGCGCAATCACATCGCATCAACGCCCTTATCCTAGTAGGCCAACTGCTGGTCGGTCAGACAAGGTGCAAGGGTTGGGCTCCTGAGGATTGGGCAGGAAATTTAATTTGACTTAGAGTCTTCTCGATCCAGCGTACCTGAGCACACAGCCGAGTGTATCGGAGCCCCGCCAAAAAACAAGCACGAAACAGTAGCTCAACACATTGGAAGAGAACAGTCTATATGGTCAATCGAGAGTCAGGGAAGAGCCATCATTGGGCTTTCCATCTGCCCGTGTAACCAAACACAAGGGAACAAGGGAGCCCTTCAGTTCATTGGCGCCAACACCTATCAAGTACCTCTGGCTGTCGGATTGTACGTCCAGCCCCCCCCCCCCCGGTCACGGACTTCCTTCCCCGGATGTAAACGTCGTACTGGTTTCGAACAAGTGCTCTACACAGCTGGTTTCTGGACAAACCAATTCATGCGTCGTGGACGGATGGAACCATTGTATAAACCAAAAAACACTCCTTTGACAGTTGAGACACAGGAATTATTCACACATCAAATGACGGCAATTGCCAGAGATCAGGACCCTGTTCAGGGCCATCGGTATCATTCCGAGCTCATGTTGTCAACCCACCATGTCTCATGTTGTTAGGAACTAGCAGCAGGGTTGGGCGCCGACTTCCTGCTACATGTTTAATCCAGCATTTGTGTAAACTATATCCTCATGGTTTCCCTTTCAAGTGGACATTTTCGGGACTACTGTTGAAAGGAGATTAGTTCCCTGTCCGACGGATTGCGATTTCACATTCTGTGTCGCTCAGATTTGCCTGCGGCTGCGGCATGGCTTGCGGCATCGGTGCCGCCATCCTTAGCACTGCAACTGAACCAACACCACATGGAGTTGGCTCCAACAGGGAACTTTGAAATCTTTGGTGGCATTGGGTAGAGTACTTGAATGCTAGGTTTGGATTATCTCGTAACTCATATGAGGCTCAGTGAAAGAATCCAGTCTACGCAAGCAACAGAGGGGCACTCAATCATTGCCCTAAGGCCGGCACCATTTTTTTCTGGTGGGGACCATCCCCAACTACTATTCGACCTGGGGTGTGACAGCGGCTCAAATGACCCTGCTGATCACAAAATTTGGACAACTTTCTATACTCAAGCTGCCAACTTGAGAGAGGTGGGAACGAAAGCAAGCAAGAAGCACCCACAACTTTGCCTAGGCAAAGTTGCTCAACACAAGCTAGGCATGGTAGCACAACTCCGGCAGTGCTTTCGTGACGAGGCAACCGCCCCAGTTGACATCGTGAACAACTCCCAGAGCTCGTGGCTCGTGGCTCGTTTGTCGGGATAGACCAGCGACCAGTCGTGGGCCGGTCTCAGCCGACTTTCTGGGTGTCGGGCGTGGAAGCTGCCGCCTTGGACGAATGCTTCTGCCAGTAGCTTCAACATTTCCCATGTGCCCACGGCGCCTCTGGCGACTCGGTAAAACGATAAATCATGTTCCTTACAAACCAAAAGGGAAGAATAACAACTCATCTAAAGTCTCAATGGAAGAAAGAGTGTGGTCCTTACTTTGGGACATACCCAGGCGGAACCATGCCACTTGCCAGTTTCTCGTCGCCGAAGAAGGCCCAACAATTGGAAGGCCGGAGGAAACCTGATCCTCAAAGTTCAAACGTTCATCAATTCAGCAAAATAAGTGCTGTGCCAATCGATCACTGCAAAGCAAGGCTGGTTCAATCAATGCAAACATGCAGGATTGCATGACAAGCCCAAACCAGTGGTCCCTTCATTTCTTTTGTGGAGCGGTAGCCTGCTTCGTGTTCTGGAAAGGCCCCAGTCATCGGCTTACCAGTTCGTCATTTGCAATCCAAACCTATTAGAGGCCACCTGCAACATCAACATAGATGAACATTGGGGGATCCCCCAAAACAAGAACTCGCATTAGTGAACATTGACATCATGAGCTTCCGCTAAAGTGTTGCTCACTCTGCCTGCCTACCTTTCTGACTGCCTGCCTGACTGCCTGCCTGACGGACGAGCCGACCGAGCCGACCGCTCGGCCGGCTGACCGCTTGCCTGCGGCTGAAAAATGCTGAAGAGATTCTCAAAGACGCCCATAGGCCTTGGCTTTCGTGTGATCTCGTGCGAGCAAAAGCTACTTCATGACACCAAAACTCTTGAAAAAACAGGTGCAGCCATTCTGGTGCGCTTTGTGTCAGCTGAAGTCTGATCCCCTCGTCTCAAATCCCTCTCAGGGCCTCAAAACTCAACACGCAAGTGCGAACAAAAGGGGCCAAACCCATTGATGGCCCGGCCCGATTTAGGGCTGTAATCAACATTGCACATGTAAGTAAACACACCCCAGTGGAGGAAGGCTGGCCAATAGGCACGTAAACCACGCGACGCAGAACATGTTCCTACTGAACTCAGCCAAACAAACAGTTAGCAGTCGCAAACGAGCTCAAGTTGTTCTGATTGAGGGGACACCTTTTTCGACCCCAGAAGAAAGCGTCAATCAAAACCTTCTCTGTTTGCTTCAAAAGGAGGACCAAAAGCAACCCTCCTCCCCGTTTGGGGGGCACTCTTAACTGGAGACAAACCCATGCAAATAAATTGCTGTCTTCCATTCGCACAGGCTGCCGGGCAAAAGCTCATGCTTGTGCCAGGACTCCTCGACCATACGCTTCAGCCTCAGAACTCATCACTGTGATACCACAGGCCGTCCATACGGCTGTCATTGCAAATGGGACTCTCTTGTTCTCACAGAAAGTGATCCTGTTTCCCACAACTGTGTGCACGTTTGTTCATTTTTGAGGAAGCCAAGGGGCGGGAAACTGTTGTTTGAGAGCAATCCAGGAAAACGAAAGGCTGCTCTCGTCATTCTGTCATCGGCTGGAACTCTGCAAACAGAAAGGGCAGCAGTGGACAATTGTGAGATAATTCAGAGTGTTCAACCGGCCTTGTAGGTCTGTCTCTAGTTCTTGCATAAGCAGAGCACAGGGGAATGAACAGCACGAGGCTTGGCTTTTATTCGCCTGGAGGAAGCAGCCCTGGTCCCTAGTGATTCTTGAAGAATCGTGACACACCTAGCCAAACATGGTTGGACTTCTTTGCGCGCCACCATGATCTTGACAAAAGGACAAGCCAAAAGCTAGGCAACCAAGCCTTCGGCACTAACTCTGAATGCATTGTATTGGCTACGATCCACAGGAATAAAATAAAGCTGAGAAATGAAATGCAGGAAAAGCGGCAAATCCGCTGTGCATCATGTAAAAGCTTCAGTGCACACCTGCACCTGGACCAAAGGTCAGCCACTCAACCCGTTCAGGCGACCACGTGGCTGTGCAAAATTGGTTTGGAGCCAACGTGGTTGGTTGGCATTTCAAATACAGTTCTCCCCCCCCTCCCCCCGCCCGTCTCGTTTATTGGGCCCTTCTGGCTGTGCCTGTGAGCTTGGTCCCTGGGAAACAATTCTACAAACATCTACCTCGTTGTTCTTCCCCCCCTCTGCTTTTCGCCGTTCCGAACACCCTGAGCCAAAGCCGCCAAGAGAAAATCTAAGCATGCGCCAACCCAAACCATTCCCCTACCAACAGGTATGCTCCTACAAAGTGACATGGGAGCCAAAAACAAAAAATCTAAGAGGAGACTCCTTTGGGAAGATCCCCCAAAAGGATCCACAAGGGGGAGACATGGGTGTGGGTCAATAGGTACCCAGAATGCAACCCTGGTAAATGGACACATGGGCTAAAACCTGCGGTCTTTTTCTGGTGGATAGTTGTTTGACCCAAAATTCATGTAATTTGGTCAATAGTCAAGGGAATGACATGTGAACCCACACTCACAAAACCAGCGAGAAGCGCCACCAAATCCCCGCCGAGAAGTGGCCGCCTCTCGCTGCCTGACCCTCAGCGACCCTCAGCGCCGCGCCAGCCCCGGCCCTCCTCGTCGGACTTGTCGAAGGCCACGCCTGGAGGCACGGAAGATCCGGATCCGAACATGGAACCTGCCAGGTCCCATGTGGGTTGGTTAGATAGTTGGTTGGTTAGATGATAGTTGGTTGGTTGGTTGCTTGGTTACTTGGATACTTGGTGACTTGGTTGGTTGGTTGGTTGGTGGGTGGGGTGGGGTGGGGTGGGGTGGGGTGGGGTGGGGTAGGGTGGGTGGGTGGGTGGGTGGGGTGGGGTGGGGTGGGTGGGGTGGGGTGGGTGGGGTGGGGTGGGGTGGGGTGGGGGTGGGGGGTGGGGTGGGGTGGGGTGGGGTGGGGTGGGGGTGGGGTGGGGTGGGGTGGGGTGGGGGTGGGGTGGGGTGGGGTGGGGTTGGGGTGGGGGGGGGGGGGGGGGGTGGGGTGGGGTGGGGTGGGGTGGGGTGGGGTGGGGTGGGGTGGGGTGGGGTGGGGTGGGGTGGGGTGGGGGGGTGGGGTGGGTGGGTGGGGTAGCTTGGTTGATTGGAGCAAAAGGATCTTGTGGCCTTTGGTCAGGTTTTACAATCAATCAGGGTCTTGCATGGAAAAAGAAAGGCTTACAAAGGACTCCAGTTCGCTTTCCCATGTTTTTTTCCCCCCCAGATAGCTGAAAGCTATAGGGGTTCTAACTTCTAATAAAGAGGGGAAAGTGATTTGCGAGATTGATGGGCTGGTGCTAAGGGGCGTGCAGTTTGGGGTGCTGGTTTTTGCGGATTGGGGTGCTGTTTGAGGTGCTGATGGCAGTGCGGGCGCATGTTTTCAAGATTGACGGTAGGGTGCTAGGGGGCATGCAGTTTGGGAGTGCTGGTGCAGGTGCTGTTTTGGGGGTGACGGTGCACGCGTGTTTTTACATCTTGACGGTAGGGTGCACGGGGGCATGCAGTTTGGGGTGCTGGTGCTGGTGGTGTTTTGGGATGCTGTTTGGGGAGCTGTTTGAGGTGCTGGTGACGGTGCGGGCGCAATTTGCGATATTGACGCCCGGGTGCTATCGGCCATGCAGGTGACGGTGCAGGCACATTTTTGCATCTTGACGGTAGGGTGCAAGGGGGCAATGCAGCTTGGGGGGCTGGTGCAGGTGGCGTTTTGGGATGCTGTTTGGGGTGCGGCTGAGTGTTTGGGGGGGGGCTGTTTGGGGTGCTCTTAGGGTGACGGTGCAGGCGTGCGAGATTGACGGCAGGGTGCAGGCAGGGGGCATGCAGTTTGGGGTGCTGCTGCAGGTGCTGTTTTGGGATGCTGTTTGGGGTGCTGTTGGAGGTGCTAGTGATGGCGCGGGTGCTCGATTGACGGCCGGGTGCTGTTTGGGACGCTCTTCGGGGGGTGTTGTTGGAGGTGCTGGTGTGCAATCATTGCTATCTGGGGACTATGCTGGCGTATTTGTTTTTAAATATAAATGGAAACCCACCAAAGAGCCATGACAAAAAGGTGCAACTGGTCAACGAAGCCAGTCTTCGCTCTTCAAACGTCGTCGCGCCGTTCGCCAGCAACCAGCGCTCCGAAGCTTGATCCATGCTTCAGGTTGTTCACCCAACCTGCGCCCAATCCCGGGAATTCCGAACCTAAGCTTCAGGCGCAGCAACGTCGGCAAGTGCTCCGCAAAGTGAACTTTGTAGTCCTTGCCCACCTGACCGGAGCAGCTCATGGCATGATATTTGCCCCGGATGGATTTGTCGGAAAGCTGGTCCTGAGGCGGTTGTAGAGGAAGAGCAAAGTGACAACCAGCGTGTACCCTATTTTAAAACGCACCCGCCGACTTCCACTGGAATGTGGAACCAGGCTGATCCGAGAATGTCCCAAGTGCAAGGGCTCAACTGGTCTCAACATCCACCTGCCCAGTTGCCAGGACCCATTTTTCTTGATTCGGGTGAAAGAGCAGCCCGGCGACTAAATGGAATTCAGGATGGAACTCCACTGCAAGACATCCGACTGAACATGATGGACACGCTAGTGCGTTTCCAGCCAGAAAGATGCTTTCCGAATTTGTTGGACTGCTCATGTTCACGGGAAACTGAAAAAAGTTGTTTTGGAGAGCTGGAAGCCATTTGCAATTGTGTGTGCCGTCTATTCAAGCTGACAATTTCATAAACATAGAAAATACACCTTGGTAAGATTTCCTCGAATACCATCATTCTGCCCCAACAAAGAAGTGGTTCCGGTATCGTATCATCGTCTCTGCCAAGTTGCTTCTCTGGATTCACTTGTCATGTTAGCCCTTGTTGCAGCGACTGGGAACATGATCTAGAAACTTGGGACCTTGATTGGCCCATTTCAAAAGAAAGCCAATTTGACCCAAACCGTTTGCAAAAGTCTCCGCACGGTTGTGAGTAAAAAATACCTAGTAAAATCAAACCCTGTGTGCCGTATCCACAGTGCGCCAGCCCTGCGCCGCGCTGCCGAGACTCCCCGGAAATTCCGCTCCGCGCCTTCTTCAGGATGCTGTCCACCACCAGAAGCTGCGGCTGGATCCTGGCGGAGCCAAGAGGCCTTCTCGGAGGGCCAAGGCCGGGCCTCCAGAAAGCAAGGCAGGCGAACGTCACAGCCCCCGCCAAAGCCCCCCCCTAAAAATGTAGAAAGGGGAGTTGAAGGAACTGAAACTTCTTTCTACATTTTTTCTAACAACCAATGAAAAACACATTGAAAAGCCCCCCTTCCCCCTTCCCCCCTTCCCCCCCCCCCCCCCCGATTTCCCTGGTCCTCTCGGGGCTCGCGCTCTGGATTTCCTCCGCCACCGCCTGACCCAAACGAAGGCGAAGCAAGCGACGCTTTGAAGGCGAAGCCTTCGAGGAGTCCCTTTCGTAAGGAAACAAACTGTTGACCGTAATGAAGTTTGTCTCAAAATAGGGGACCCCAAACAGGGTACCCGTCGAAAAACAGACACACACACACACACACAAATACGTCCTTTCCACCATGGAAACAACCGGGCAAGTTTAGGACCAGTCAATTCGCACGTGTCTGAAGATATGGAGCCCTGCTTTTCCTGTTTTGGCTTCCCTTTGATTGACTTTGCAACAAGCTAACGGGGCTCATCCCAAACACAAAATATGTGTCTCCTCCTCTTCAGCCATGTCAATTGTGGAGGCGGCCCGGGTGTCTTCCCAAATGGCTTAAGCAAGCAGGGGTTCAATCCCCACAAAGAGGTCAACTATATTGATCTTTGAAGTTCAGGGATCCACCCACAATTGGCTGCACGCACCTTCCCAAAGAGGATATTGTCTAACGTGGATGCTTTAACAAAAATCGGGGACTTCTCTTCTAGATGGTCATTGAAAGGAAACCAGGAGAATCCCAACGCATCAGCCTGTGATTGACCCTCCCATTGGCCCATAGGCCACGCCCATTGGTTGTTGGTCAATGGTTAAATTATGAAGTAAGGGGTCTTTCCAAAACTGGCTTTCCGGTTTGGATCATATCTTGCGCACAAATACTGAGAGGCAGGCTGACAAGGCTGCAGATTGACAGACAGGCATGGGGTAGAACAACCGACAGGACGTCTTCCGGTCAGGTTCCACAAACAGCTCTCCATGTCATCAAGTCCAATCCACTGGCAGATGTGTGCAAAAAAAACATCCAATCAAGCAAGCAAACATCATGCAGGAAATGCAGTGAGACGACATGCGACTGATTCGTCAACTCATGTGTGTGTGTGTGTGCGAGCTGGATATGGACAAAACAAGGTTGTAAGCAGAATGTTGAATACACAGGAAATTGGCTGCTCACTGCCTTTCTCAGCAAAGCGTGTCAAAAGAGCTGCGGTAGCAAAAGCAAAAAGCTGGTAACCAAGGGCAACTGCAGTGTGCAAACAGTAGCAGCGCTTTCATAAATCTTTACACGGTCTGGGTAGACTCCTTTACCAGGTTTGAGGTTTGGACTCAGTGTCTTGTTGCCATTGACTGTTGTGTCCAAACTCTCAGGTAAGCACACACGTTCCACTGGCCAGCAAAGCTGCTTTCCACATCATCCAACTCTCGGTGGAGTAATTACTTGTTCCAAACACACACTCAACAATGGGATTCACCACATTGGCGAGCGAGCTGGGTGACGTATTCACCACCTCCCAAACCGATGCGTCGGAAAACCAACAATTCGCATGCGTGATTTTGCTGCGCGTGCCAAATATCCAACGAGTCAGCGCCTCCCTCGCTCCTTACATTGAAGGAGCTGAAGAACTATTGGAAGAGCTTTCACAAATGGCGCCATAAATCCAATTGAAGTCCTGATCCTAGAAGCATATCAGTAGTTCAATGTAGCATGTGCCCCAAATGGGCAACCACACGCCTGGACAATGGCGGCGGAGTTGCTATACAGCTGTTGCGCCAACTCCTCAGGCGGGAGACCCGTCGATTGGCGGCGTGTTTCGTCAACTTGCTAGCCACGGGAAGAAACCAACACTTATAACTCCAAGCGGATCCCAGTTACAAGTACCAGCTACTGGCTTTTAGATTATAAAGGGAAGTTCCCTTGTTTATCTACAGTAGAGATAAATGGAATCACTGGGAAAGGTCACAACCTGCTGAGGGCTCAAGATGGCAAGATTCTCCTACTCAGGATGTTAGTCACTTGATTGTTGGTAAATTTCAAGAAGCAACCCGGAAAGGAGGAACAAGCTGAAACTCGGCCAACGCAAGCAGGAATACAGCCCCTACTCCCTACTGACCGGCCGCAACTGAACCCCCCGCTGTGAAGGCCGATGACCCGAGGTTTAGCTTGCAATTTTCGGCCTGACCAGCGGGAAGCAAAACCGGACCCGACAAAAGAAGCAAAGAATGCCCCCGGACTGGGTCAAGTACGGGGCCTTCCTGGCCGAAGTCATCTTAGAGCGAAATCGCCCCCCCTCTCGGCTGCGCGGCCGTGAGGTTCTTGATCTTGGACCCGGATTTGGTCTCCAAATCCTGCCACTCTGATGGCCAACTAGCCAAGTTACTCGTCCGAGTCTTTGGCTGATCAGATTGTTCAAGCAAACACATGACGCTGCGCAATTCAGATGACGTGGTCTATGTTTCTGTCTGTAAATCGGATCGACATCCCTCATTCCAGCTCGACCTTGTGAAAGAACCTGGGCGCCGCCGATCTAATTCGTGCTCTCCAACCCCAAAGACTTGATGGATCGTTTCACATGTGCCATGCTCCGCGGCCCGCATTTGTTTTGTATGGACAAAAGTGCCCCACAACTACATTTGATCGCTCTCCAAAATTGCCACGTGACTTTCGTACCCGTCTAGATTGAAGGTGACCAGGGCGCGGGTTCTTCCCCGGCTTTTCCAAGTCCCTGCTTGTTTTCTGCCGCAAAAGCTATGGGATCACCGCCATGCCCCAGAGAATAAACATGGCGAGGTTCTATACGGAGGACAAGCCATGAAATTTGAGCTGAAATGAAATCATGCTGCGAAGCAGGCTGAAGGGGGGGGGGGTCAAAATGATGGAAGGGCCCAATCCGAACACGCTCTCTCACACACACACACACACGCAGCCTTGGGGTTGAGTTGAGCAAAGTTTTCCAACACGAAAGCAATCGAAGCGTTCGAAACCCCCGAAATCCAATCCCGCCCATCCCCAATCGCGCAGCCTGGATCGCCAGCCGAAAGCCCTCCAAACCCGTTGGCCTCATTCGATACCGGCACTTGGAATCGAACAATTTCCGGGACCTAAGGCACGGCCGGGACCACGCGGAGTGAACACATGATGGGTAAAGACAGCACAGGGTATCGCAATGGTCCGACTCCCGCTTTTTTTTACCACATGGCGAAGTGCAGACGCGCACCATCTGCGCATGCGCTGGGTGCGTTACGCTGCTGAATGAGGCTGCGGAGCAAAATCATGAGCGGCACCGGGCGCCACCACACAAGCAACAGTTAGCACCACCTCTGCAACAATGGGTTGA